CTCCTCAGTAGTGCGCATCCACGACCTCGCCCCTTGCGATATTCGAACCCATGACCTATCAGTCTCGTGTGCGAGCACTTAATCACTAGACCACTCAGACACTTAATATTACCTGAGTGAGAATCGAAATTAACATGATATAGTTGATGGTTGAATGATTCAGAATAACAGTAGTAGCAAATTGTGGTTAAAAAAAACCCAAATTACTACTATTTAGGTTTTCATTCTTTATGTTTTCATGTGTACACGATTACTGTATAAGTTTAATTGTAAGTAATAGTTCATTTCTGTAACTACAGTTGTAAAATAAACAATATCATCTCGTTTAATAAATAAGAGCTTTAAATTCAAGCATACTTAATTAAAGCTTGCTGTGTCAACAATGAAGAGTAAAATCTTTGAAGGGTACTATTTTCACAGTTCTTTTGTAATGGTAAGGAGGAAAATACAGACAGTTTTATTTGTTATCATCATTATTATTGATATATCTGATGTCTGTAATGAAACATTGATCAGTGACAACCATTATTGGAAATCACTTCGATAGAAATATGTTTTTGTTTTAAGCAAAGAACTTTCATGCAGAAAATTCTGTATGCACATAAGTGTGTGCTGTTGCTTAGGACACGAAATTCTGATAATATTCGTTTGATAACTGGTTGTTTCCGTTTGGTCTCATTTGCAAGAGATACCCCTTCTCTCTTTACTGATAAATATTCATCCTCTCTAAAATCTATAATATACATTTCTATTGGATTTATGTAACAATGAATATGATTCCATTACATAGACCATGCTTTTTTAAAGATTGTGCTATGTTGAAAAATTTAACAATGACATTAATTAGGTCATGAAACTTTCTGTCTGAAGAGCATTATTGACAGTGCTTTATGAATTTTTTACTATTTTATTTATTATTAGCTTTATTCAATATTATATTTTTGGTACAATATAGAATTCTCAGCACAAAGTGTTTCAGCAAGTTTACGTTTCTTATTTTTAGATCGATATTGACAATAAATATTGAGTGATCTCCGGTTAGATATTAGCATTTCAGAAGTCGACATCTGAATAATATTCATTCTTTTCAGGGCATATTGCCAGCCATCATGATATCTCTGATTGTACATTTTTGTAATTTTTACAACGAAATGTCGTAAACTTTCCACAAACGCACCTGAATAGTCTATACAATTAATTGATATAATGATCTGTTAAAAAAATACAGGGAAACAGATAATTTGTTGAAATATCTAGATGGCAGGAACAGATAGCCCAGATATTCAAGCAAGTCTTTTGGAACAATTATTTTATACTGCATATGTGAATTTTATGCAGACATTATGGAGCAAGTCTTTCTAATGAAACAATAATTATTGAAAAGTGTCATAACATTGGATGTATACCAGTCAACTGTGAACATTAGTAATGAACAAATTAACCATAAAATGAATCATAGAAAACATATGGATACAATGATTACAACAAAAAGCTAAAATAGTCCAAATTTGTTAAAATCAAGACAAGATTTTAAGAAATAATTAATACGAATATGGTTTAATGCTCGTAATGGATTTCAGAAGTGGTTATGTACTCATTAGTACAGTCAGGATGAGAGATAAAAAGGAAGATTGATTGACTACCTCCAACCACCATCTAAAGATTGATTTGTAGCTACAGTAGTGTTAGGTTGTTGTTTATAGTCGATGAAGATCCTGGATGTATGTTTCGTGCTAGTTGTCAACCGTTAGTAAAGCGCATCTGTAATATCGAGGGAACTAATACTCATTATCGGATACGAATTCTCATCACCTAGTTTCGTAAATTAAGATGCTACTATTAAACTACTTGAACAGTAACTGACCTCTTGCAGATCTAAGATATTTACAACCGACTGATAACTACTCACTGACCAATCAATGTCTGTCTATTCTTGAATACTGATTGAGTTCTATCGATCAAATTATAATGTGACCATTAGTTTCAGTAATTTAAAACTGCCTACATTGTTTTGGAATTGTATACTTACGAAAACCAATAATCCTCAAAACTGGCCATATATTCAAGCGTACGTATAAAAACTATAGGCTGATGTGTAACAATCTATTATTAGTCATTTTAATATCTACCGAAAATAACCAATAGAATTGTGATGACTCATTTATAGTTTTTAAATATTTTCTAATTTCTAACCTGTACACAATCATACTTTATAAGTTCACTTCACAATTGATTTCTTTTAAGATAAAGTTCATTGAAATCTGAAGTAAACCTCCTGTTATCAGATTGATATGCTAAGGTGAAAAGTGTTAACGTCGAATTTCTATCAACGTTTCTATTGTAAGTACATTTTGCGTAAAATAAGTATATACCACCTTATCTAGTGAGTTTATTGGTTTTAATAGTAGTGTTTATTATTTCAGTAATATTGATTAATATGAATCTTGATTGAATTCTATATCATCAGAAGGGGTTTTGTGGAGATTTTAGAAATTTCAATTGTTGAAATCATGAGTCAATTGAAAATAGATCACCATGGAAAAACCTGGAATCACTGGACGACCGTTTCTTCCTAGTATGGGACTCCTCAGCAGTGCGCGTCCACGAACCCACCCCGCGTGAGATTTGAATCTATGACCTATCAGTCTCGTGCGCGAGCGCTTAGTCATTAGACTATTGAGCAGGCATCCAACGGTATTAATGTCTAACTTCAACCGATCCACGAAATTACGCCACCGTCTACCATTGTCTTCAGTGAGCTGATATCTCACAACAGACCTGGTTGAACTCCATTGGTCACGGCTTCTCACTAGAACTCCAGGAAATACCTCTTGAAGTCAGTCACTAGTGAGCAGGGATTGGGATTGTGGATGCACACTGCCGAAGAGTCCCATACTAGGACGAAACGGTCGTCCAGTGTTTCCGTGGTGGTCTATTTTCAGTTGACTCATGATTTCAACCAGCGAATTCCATATCATTTATTAATTACTGATATAAAACATAGTTCATACACTTGTGTAAGAAAGGTTTATCTTAGTTTCTGTGACCATATTCTGAATTAATTTCGCTTAAAATGGAATAAGAACCTACAATAGTGAAATTTATAAGCGCCTCAGTAACACAGAACATAAAATAGTTACATTGAAAACTCATGTATGTATGAGCCGAAAAAATTATATCCAAAATTCATCATGAACTTAAAGAATTTGAAATTCAAATTATTTACGTGCAGCTTCAGCTCAGATAGAACTTTGGACTACTGAACAGTTTTGAGTCACACTGAGTTTAAGCGACATTTCATTCATAGTCTACTCCCATAAATAGGGAGTTTACTACACAGAAAAATGTCGAATGCTTTAAGCATCCGGTCATCACTGCACTTTAAAGAATCATAAAGTTTGATAAATGTTAACTTCAACATCTGAAAATTGGTTGGATTCTATTTATTCAGATAATAGAAGCCTCACTCATATTCATTCACATCTCCCTAATATGTTAATAGCAGTCGGAAATTTGTTTGGCAATAAAATTTATCTGTACTGAGAATTTGTTTGTATGTTGGAACATTTACATGACTAATTTCTGATAAATCCGAAGAGTGATTCTTGATTTATTTTGAAACTTCTGTCATGTTATATAAGAACATCGGATAAAGGAATAATGAAATACAGGAAGTGATTTACTCTAATATAAAACTTCTCAGTAATCAGTATTCATAACACCCTACACCAAAAGTGATAAACACTAAGATGCTTCTACCTTACATCATCATTGATACTTCAAAGTTATCTTTTTCTAATATCATTCAGACTAAGATAAACCTTAATACTTATTCAATGTCATCAGTGAATAACCGATTTCATTCATTTCAATCTTACTAATTTTATTGTTTATAAGTTTTTCACTGTAACCAATTCAATAGCAAATACATTGAAGATCGAATATGTTGAACAAAAAATCAACAATATAAACCAATAGATCAAAGATATTGTTCTTATTGTCATATCTCATAGTTACATATTTATACTGTTACCATCCTCAGTTTTATTACCAGTTCCTAGTAAGAATTCCATTCAATTTTCCTTTTCAATTAAAGTAAAAACTAATTTAGTAAAAGTTTATAGAATATTAACCGAGATCATTTTATGAATCACACAACAAGTGAATGATGTTTCAATTATTTGAATCATCATAATAATGCGTGTTAATATTGTGTAATTGACATAGTTCTAGACGTTGAAATGACCTTGAAAAATTTACTTTATACAATTACTACTATAATAATGAGGTATTGTATTGCATACCATTATATTTAATTTGTTTCGCCTCAGAAGACAATCTAATAAGTGATAATAATAATAATGATGATAATGATGTCATACGATTTCACCATAACCTCAAATTTTCAAGCAAACAAAAAAAACATATCAAGATAAAAGATGATCATCATTTTTTTGCGTGATAGATCATCTAGCTATAGATAACCTCGTCTCTATTATTAATATTATTATTATTATCACCGTTACATTTATATCACCATCGTCATCATCATCATCAATACCCCTATATACCATAGATTAAAGGTATTCATGCATGCATACAATTAATAAATAAATAGACAATCATGTGTGCATAGAATCAGAGTCCAAGTAGATGATTTGTGAACAATTTGTTTAATATTAGAAGGCCGGTGTTAGTTAGGCAGACATATTATAGATAGACAATTATACTTTGATTAGCACCATTAAGAGTCATATTCACATGATTATCTTTTTGAGTTAATAATGCACAAACATTTTATTTGTTTATCGAGTACACCGAATTCACTATAAATTCACTAAATGAATATGATCTGAATCCATTTCTTTTCTTAATATACTACTTACATTTGTATATTTTATTCAATTACTTGTGAATAAGTGTAAGTGCCATTAAGAAAAGAAGAAGAATATCATACTTCGAAAGTGAAACATCAATTATACAAATACGTGAATAACAATATGTACGATCAAACTGAAGTGGAATTCCTTGTTAATTTAATTATTAGTACACAAAAATCAGAAAAATCATTTTCTCCTTATGAATATGACTATCATTCATTAAATACTATTTCACAATTTCCTACAGCATCTACAACACTTTCATCGCCTGTATCATCTTTAAAATCATTTTCAAGTAAGTTGTTGGTTTTATTTTATTATTATAATGTAATGTATTTTTGTCAAATATGATCATTTGATCCTAGATAACATAACACCTTGTTATTTTACTGATCGGATCAGATTTTATCTATTGAATATAAATTCATTTAGAGAAAATCTAAATATTGCCTCTCTTACAAATAATTATTTCCGAATTAGTGATTTGATGAATTATGATGGTTTGCAAAACTTAACTATTTGACAGTTTTCTTATTTCACTTAAATAATTTATGTGATGCGCCTCGCTTTTCCAATGATATATTTTGTTAAATTAAAGTTTAGTTCAATAAATCTTCTTGGTATTGATCATAGATCAAATTCATAGTAACAAGTAACACTGCATTAAAAATAAATTATAATTACAAGAAATGGTCCTAACTTGTAAGGTGAAGACTACCTCGTTGGAGGTTGTGCGATTATTATGATCAATAGTTGGGGGAGTTAGTTAACATGACTCAGAATCGGTCCTAAGTTTTAAAATTATTTCATACATTTTTTCCCCACTTATTCATTTTCTTTCCTCCCAACTTATATTCATTGTTCTTAGTCTTTCTTACCGTCACTTATACTACTTCTACTACATTGTTTTTCACCTCGATAATGTCTTTACACTATGCTCTCAACTTGATCCGATGTACAACAAAACTTGACTTTAAATTGCATACAACTGATTGACCGTTTAAAAATATGAAGATTTACTAGTGTTGAAAGATGATCAAAATACATTTTTCGATCTATTTTTTGTTATTGATAAAAATTAATTTCTTTGTAAACCTCTTACAGATGCGGTTATATTCAAAGTTGAAATCATTGATAAATTTATTGAATACCTGATTAGTGTGTTGATTAGACGAAAGATAGCTTTCAACTAGGTATCTCTAGGGCATCAGTTCACTAATAGAAAGTATGAATTATCTTTAGTCTCCAATGGTTTAAAAAGAATGCAATAATCTTTATGATAGTTGTAACAGTAGTAGCACCAATAGTCGTAGTAAAAGTAGTAATTCCATGCACAAACTAACATTATTGCCTTAAAGTCAGAGTATTTTTAAACTACTTGTTTTAAAGCATAACTGAAATACGGCTCACACCTGTGACAGTAATTGGAATACTGATTCATTTTAGTTAAACCCTATCAAGTCATAGGGTTAAGTCATACTTAAAATGTTTTGATCTTGATGATAAGATTAACCATATTCAATCAAACTATTTGTTAACGGATCCCATCAGCCAAGTGATGCAGTATACATACATTCATGTTAGTGATTCTAAAGGGTTAGATTAGTTACTATACATCTATCATTGTCAGTTCATACAGTCACTGAAAACATCATTTGGTATAAACATACAACTGGTTAATCTTCCTAATTCTCCTTTAACCAATCAGCGACCAGATCTTATAATATAATTAATTACCAGATAAGCTTTAATCTGACGTTTGAACAGATGATCACCATATCCATGTCTCTCTATCTCTAAGTTCATTAACCATTATAATGTATATGCATATCCTTAGTTTGTAATATATTCCATAGTTTAGACTGTTCAAATCTTCACTCCATCAATTAGGGCTCCAAATTACGATGAAATATATATATATACACACACACCATGAATAAAATATTTTGGTTAAATCGAAATTCTATTTTGCATACACTAACAATAATATTATCTATCAAGGTTACAACCAGATCAGACTATTTCTTCTGCAAAAGTGTATCCAATTTTTTTATTAAAAAAACATATGAATTATTTCTTATCGTTCATAGTTAGTTAACTAATTAGTTGACCAGTTAAGAACGTGTTGACTGTCGTTTGAAGTTGACTGTCGCTTCAAATGTTTATCTCAATCTTCTTTTCTTTTTCTTTCGTTTCTGTTACTTTTTTTTCCTAATTTAGACTCCGTTTTTGTTTTCATCCGTTGAATATTAGTCTATTTCTTCGGTATTTACGTGTGGTTCATTTTGTCGAAATCTTTTGTATTTCATTGTTTTTATTTTATGTATCTTCTTAAAGTTACTTTTATTTTAAACCACGCGTGAGATAATATCTAACCATTAATTATTATCATTACTGTTGTTCTTGTTATACCTAGATCATTGTATGTATGAGAAATACTGACTGTTTATTACAAATCTCATTTTTACGAATCAACCTGTTTCGACTGCTGGGAATAGTATTGTGTTATTAGTTTACAACTCATTTATCAAGTACATGTTTGTGTACTGAAGTTTGAATGATGTGAGGGCTAGTTATATCAGGTAACTGATTAAAGCGGAGTAGTTTGAGAATGTGAAATACTATAGTTGCTACCCAATCTTATACACACATTCACTTAGTCAATCAGAACAGTCGAAAAAAATTTCAAAACTATTCAAGTCATTGACTATTGATGCATGTAATTATACTTTGAATCCTTCTCATTATTCGAATCCTATGGATGATGATACGTCTCTCAAATAGTAATATATTAAGGGATAATATTTAAAATTTTGTTTTAATGATTAAAAGTATTGAATACACTGAATACCTAGGACATCATTATATATGTAAAACTGTGGAGAAGAATTGTAGCTCAGATCAATAAGAACCAATCAACATCGAGGTGCATAGAACAAGTTGTGAAACACATATGGAGAAATTCGAACACTTCACTTCTATCTGAAGTTTGTGCTGATAATGTCGTTTAGAAGAACGATGAAAGCTCCACGACCAAACCACCTAGCTCAAAGAACAAAACTCCATCAAAATATGTAAAACTGTACTGAAGAAAATCTACGATACAATTTATTAACCTGTATGATAATATTCAAATAACACGGTCAATGAAACCAGTTAAAAAATCGATAAATTCAAATGAAACCATTTTATCTATCTATTTAAGTTGTTTAGATTATGAACTTAGACACAATAAAATAGAGGAGATGAGTCATTAAAAAAAAAATGAAGGTCATGCATAATAACAATCAGCATTGGGTTTGGGGGACATTTAGGTTGACACTATTTCTATTTGTTTGTGTCTTATATAGACATATGAATGTGACCTTGAATAAATTAAATATAAAGTTGATACAATCAGTATTTAGACAAAACTATTTGAGAAAGGGTAAAACAAATTTTAAATAAAAAACAACCTAGTTTTTAGCAGGATAATAATCACGTTTATATAACATGTGAATTATGTTGTTAAACAATTCTGTCATAATAGATTTTCTGAGATGGTAAAGAGGATGTTTAACATAGTAAATATAGTAGAAAGTTAGTTCTCATCACTAACTGAAGAGCTAACGATTTGAAATTAAAACTATGATGAATAAAGTGTAATTCTTTAATCTTTGATAGACGATTTGAATATTCATCTAGATCAAGGTCTTGTTTATTGTATCGAAGCGTAATTTTCTATACTTCATTGAATTATTGATTCATATCATTGTCTTGAAAGCATTGAGTGTTATTATATAGTGTCATGAAGATTGTTGAATTTAAAGTTTCACGTAATACACCGACTGTGGTTAGATAACTACTGACAATCTGATGTAAATGAACAGTGAGATACGCGAACATACAAGTGATATATGACCCAGAATCCCCAAGCCTAATTTTGAGCATCTGACCTTCAGACCACAGTTGGGGTTCAATAGTTCATATTTCTAACTTCAGTCAATTTGCGATATTTTGTGTCCATTATCCACTACTATTGATGATATTTGTATCACTTCTGATGGTTGAACGTCACTGGTTACGGCTTTTCTTTAGAACAATGTTCAAATATCTTGGTTCTGATACCCGATGGGGTTTAGGATGTGCACTGTTAAGGATTTCTATATTAGGATGAAACATCTACCCAGTACTTCATAGTTTTCACTGGTTGTTTAATTAAAATAAATTAGTGATATCAAACTGTAAACAGTGACTGTTTTGTTACTATCAACAATTTGAATTTAGTGAATGAAATATTAAGTAGGTAATTACGGTTACAATTACCTTTAACCATACTCTTAATAACACATGTCCCAACCATTTCATTAAATGAGCTAGTTGGTATATGTGTTACGTATGCCCAACCACCTCCTACTTTGACGGACGATGATCGTTAGTGCAGTAGTAGATTATAAGAAGGCTAGGGATGACCGAATTGACAGTTGTTTTGAGTTCCAGATGTTCTTCAATTGTAGAACGTCATGCCGAACTAAGATGTGGCACCAGTTCATGAATTAATTGAAAACTGAACTATACCATGCTAATAGGTGTACACTACCTGATTAGAGTCCGTGTGGGTTATAGTAACCAGCAGTTATAAACTTTAGTTGATACGGCTCAGAATCGATTGCAATGGCCCAGGTGTGTTCACTCGTTGGTTTACTCTTGAACATGTGTCCTAAAATCACCTTACACCATACAACTTTGTGATGTCTTAAAATAATCTAATCTCCATGTATCAATGTGATAAGGCAATTTAAACCGAAATACATATTTGTCACATCTTACGTTGCATACAATTAACTAATGACACCATTTGTATTTCTTTAGTCTAAACATTCTTATTAATGTCTGTGCATCTTAATTAGTGAGTATATCTCTTATGAGAAGTTGAAATTCGGTTAATAGTTTTGATCTTACAAAATAAGTTTACTAATTATTAAGTCTTTTGAGTACATAGATAGGTTGTTAATTATTCCTAATACCTATGTTATTAAACTCGACATTGACAGTAACAAACTAGTGTGATTTTTTCCATATATTGCGTGTAAATTATCACCTACCCCATAGTGCACAATATTATTGAGAAGACACATTTGCTTTCTAAATAGGTTATTCTCAGTAAATATTCTAGATATGGTTGTTTCTATAATATAAAGAGTGTAATTAACTCAATTATTTAAAAAAAGGAATAGTAACGTGTTCTTACTAGTACACAACCATACATAATTAAATGTTCCAGGGTAACATTTTTTCTTATTTCATAAACAATACTGTACAGTTTTGTTATTTATGACTGTGAACACAATTAAATTGATGTCAGTTAACCAGGACAAACAAAGAAGCATCAGAATAAGAAGGAATGAGATCACCAAAATTGTAAATACAATGTTGATCATTTTTAGTGACATGCTGTCCAAAAGTTGGATAGTTACAATAAAGTTCAGTCTGTTTAACTATATGTGTATGATATCAGATGATTCTTTGCTACTGTTTATCACAAGAGTACCTAGAAATTTATCGATAAAGAATAATTGTTTAATTAACAAATGAATATATGGAATAACTCATTAGTATAGTTTGAACCACTAATCACTCTATTATATTGTGTCACCTTTCACTTTTAAATGATAGTAACAAGAATAGTAAAATAAATGGTGTTCTCGTTTACTAACTTGAAAGTTGGTATTACTTAATAAGGATGGTTGTATCATCAAGTCAGGGTGAGCATTATTAATGCATGTAGTTTTAATGTATCAGAGTGTTGGAGATAACTGCCTAAACGATAGAATGTTTCTAAATCTTGATATTGTGGTTTGTTCTAAAGTATTTGTAATCATTAAGATAACTTTGGTGATCTATTCGATTAACTCTAAGAATCAAATAAAATGGTTATTTCTCAATGGTAATTGATGTTCATTAGTTTAATAAGTGTATCTGCGCTGATTAGATTTTTATTAACGCTTAACAATAATCACAATAGTCATCACAACTTTATAAAGATCATACATTCAATCTGTTCCCATCCTCACTATCCTATAACAGTCTTGATGTTAAAATAAAGTCAACAATCGAATGAGCTCTGTTACTTTTGTACAGAGTCCAATAGATTCTTTGCTTCAGTTTTTTTCTTTCTTAGTTGACAATGACAGAAACCTGTGATTCTTATAAAGCTTAAAAATCATTCAAAATCATATCCGGGCTCATTAGTTCAGAAGTTAAGCATTCGTGCTAGAGACCGAAGGCCGTGAGTTCGATTCCCGGTAACGAGCTTGTGAGTGAGCACTGATAAGGAGTTACACATTAAGAATAAACGGGGTCTAGTGTCTCTAGGTTTTAAATGATTTTCTAGCATTGATGGGTTCATGATCTCAATAAAATTCAATAAGCTCCACAACCTGAAATGCCATTCTGTTTGTCTAACTTTCTTTCCGAGAATAAACCATTTTTAAATGTTATGAATTTGTGTGGCGTATGCTTAATCACTACTTGCCTCAAAGTATGATGTTGTCTACGATGTCGAGTGTCAGATTAGAAGAAATCTATGAGTGGTAAGACCAATATGTGATGTCAGTTCATGAAGTCAGTGATTGTTAGACTAAACAGTGTAGGTAGGCACAGATTATCTGGTTGGGGTGCGCGTTATTATCGTAACCAATGGCTAAAGATTTGGGATGATGTGACTCAGAATTAGTCGAGATGAAAAAAGATGCATTCACTCTTATCTTTCATTGGACCTTGAGTTTTAAAATTATCTAATGCCTTCTTTCTTCTCGTATCATATTGTCGGTGTTTAGTGTTTTCTAACATCGTTGATATTGTTACGACTTCTACCAATATGACATTTGTTTTAATAATTTAGTATCACTGTACTGACACCATGTGAAATTATTGCCAATTGGCTCGAAGTGTAATCTGAACTTATCAGGAAATGAAAGAAAAGACTGTCAATTTTCAATAGAATAACTGAAAATCAATGATATTTTAATAGATTTCTTCACTTTTAAGTAAACACACAAACACACTGCATAACATTTAGTTTATTTATATAGATTTATTGATATATGCATACCTACACCCCAACAGAGGTCATGATTATGAAATTATAAAGTTGGGGGTAATCAATAGTCGATATATTATGATTATTTGCTTTTCCATATATCAGGCTAACAGTTGTCACTATGACATGTACATGCATATGTAGCAACGTATGTATGTATGCATGTACGTATGTGTATATAAAGGCACCATATCATTGATAAAAAGTCATGATCACTGTTGATAATTTGTAGAAATTTTTTATCATCATAATTTAACATAAAAAAAAGGCTACTGATTCATTGTTTCATTCTAATTTGAAGTTATCTCAACAGTATTGACTTATTACTTATTCAATGGAATAGAATTTTAAACTCTCATAACCTGTGGCAAACATGTAGCAGCTGTCATTCCTTTTCTGATAGAGTTTATAATCGCCTGTGATTTACGAATTGTCAATGTCTAACATAGATTCACTTGACTTATCATAGTTTCGTCGTCATCAGTATAGAGAGCTTGTGTAGATTGTTGAATTTTCATAGTTTAGTGCTTCGAAGACAGCTATGATCTCATGCTAGTAACCTGTGAATGTCCACTATTCTTAATGACCAGGTTTCCCATCTCTAAAATAGAACGGAGCAAACTGCTGAGCAGTAAATTCATCGTTTGGAATGACATTATTTTGACGAACATGGGAAACCCGAACTCGCTGGATGTGTCTCGTCCTGATAGGGGAGACCTTAGCTGTACATATCCGCGAGTGTGAGGAAGTTCCCCGCCAATGACATCGAGAGATCCTTAAATAATATCTCAAATTGATGGATGTTAGAAATCAGACCACTACATGGTGACTCAGTGGTATAAATGTTAAGATAACTTCACAAAACCCATGGTAGCATGATCTAGGTACACAACTGAGGAGTCTAATGACAGGGTGAAACAACTATCCAGTGCTTCCTGATTTCCAATGGTGGTATTGTTGAAATCAGCTCGTGATGTAAACTAAAATTCCAGTCAGTGAATAAATTCAGATTAATGAAAGTGATGAATGCATGTAGTAAACAATTAATCCGTGTAGTTCTGTATCATCTAGATTATATTTAGGAAAGTATGAACAACTTCCATCGTTCGAAATTTCAAGCTTGAGGTTACCGGTAATTAACGTTTCAATGATTCATTAGCTTTTAGTGGCCCGTGGATCTGACTCCAAGATCGTATAAATGTTTGCTATCGCCTATTCTCGTATATCATCGTCGACTTGAATCGCGTTAGTCAATAACGGAATTAAATAAGTCGAATAACGAGAATTGACTTGAGAATATATATATTTCGTATATGGAGCGAATGAAACAGAACAGAGCAAAATGACACGCAGGAAAGATGGCTGGGAAGCCAACTCCATCTTTGTCAACCGTTACTCAATATTTATAGTCGGACAAAATAAAGCTACAGACATGTGATTAATGGAATAAGAAGGGCACACACATATACGCTCATATAAAAACAGTCTAGATTGATAAGCGAATAAATAACAAGTTCAAAGTATGGCTCGAGTAGAATGAATAAAATGGGATGTGCGAAAGCTAGAATAAGGTATATGGGCTTGGCATAATAACTGACACTACAAGCTATCATATTCCATGTGAAACTAAATTTATTCTTACAGAATAATATAAATTAATGGATAGTTATTATTTTTCTTCATATAACTATGTAACTTATTATTTTTTCTTTATCTATGCATATTCGTTCTTATTTCTTTTGTGTGTAGATTATCGTCCCCGTCAAAAAATTCTTATTTGTGGATTACCAGATGATATATCCCCTTGTTTAGACTATGCAATGATAGCGAAACCTGGAATGATTGACTATTCATCTCTAATTATTGCCAGTACTGATGTAAGTTTACACAATTACTAAAATGCGTTTATTAATGAGCTTATTTATGAGTGATGATGAATTGTCGATAATGATTAGTGTGTTTTCGAGATGTCTTCACATTATGGAACACTTGCCATTACTGTATTACAAGTTTGAACCACTCAGGCATCATCAATTTTTTGAATATTACATGTATGCCTTTCTAACAATTATCAACTAACACGAAACTTAGACAGAATTTCCCGCCAACTATCTCCAACCAACTAACGGTTCAGTTCTATGTGCATCTTCTGTATATTACTACTAATCCCCATCAACTGAAGTGTAATTTGTGGCTGTTATGGTTTATTCATATGGCGCACTAATTCCAAGTTGGCTATCTCAGTTAATGACTTCATTTAATAGTTGATAGCCCAAGAAATATCTATAACCCTTTTACTAAGCTGATAACAATAACTCCAGAAAGATCGTACCATTTAAACTTAAGTCAGTCAGTTAGTCACAATGTAGAACCTAGCACGTATGTACATCGGTTCAAGTTGTCATATCCCATTGGCACACAGAAATGAAATTGTCAGATCAAACTCCATAATAGTAGAGGTAGTAACAGTATCAGTGGACATAGAAAATATTACTCATTGAACATACAACTCGACAAGAAAATATAAATTAATGAAATAAAAACACAAAAAGTTATGATGAATTCACAACTCAGAGTCTGAGGAAAGACACAGAATGCATCCATCTGCACCACTGCGAACGATTTTGAGCCATATCATTCAAAACCTCTGACCACTGGTTATGATAATGACGTGGACCCCAACCAGGTAGTATACTGCTACTGTCATTACTCAGTTCAATTGTCATTGACTTGATGAACTGATGTAATGTTTTGATTTGGCTGCCCCTAACTTCCTTATAGTTTACTCCTACACCAAACAACATCACTCATCGAAGTAGACAGTGGTTAGGCACACGTAACGCACACCTCAAACACCTCAGTTGATGAGGTTCTGCTACCTCATCAGTCGACTTGCTATCTTTACCTAGTACCCTATTCCTAACCCAGAAACTGTTTACTCCATGGTCCAAAAATACATGATCAATGCTTTGAAGACAGCTATAATCTCATGCTAGTAACCTGTGAATGCCCACTATTCTTAATGACCAGGTTTCCCATCTCTAAAATAGAACGGAGCAAACTGCTGAGCAGTAAATTCATCGTTTGGTTGTCAGACAGTTATCTCGCCTACGCCACAAGTTGCCAAAAGTCAATCGAATATTCTTAATCCGTTCTTAGATTTTGTCAGACTTTCAAACTTATGTGGTTGTAGACGTGAAATATAAAATCATAACATCCTGAAGTTATGCATAATAATCGTTCAACTGATTGATCCACACGTAATCAATAACATTGTAGTTTATTAGTCGTTGAGAGCAAAAGTACAACCTTAATGATATTCTTTCCACATCTAATGTTATCAAAGGAGATTCACTTTATCCAATTGTCGAGACATCCTGAAATTTATTTCTATTCAAATGATTTACCATGAAATTCCCCCTTTCAACAAATTTAACATCATTATAAATTAAAATTTTATCCATATTATGCACTCGGATTGCATGATCAGTGAATTCAACAAACTATGAGACAGATGCCACTTGATATTTATCTAACTTCATGCATTCTAATGCATTTAAATCACATGGACAACTATCAGTTAGGTACCGACACTTATGTATAGATCTATGAGGAGGTGCATCACGATATACAGTCACGTTTTCACTTTTCTAACTTTTTTTTCACATATACATCACTGAAAAATTTGTAATGAATAAACTCATGAATGGTGTGAAAAATATAACGAAATAAAATATAATTTGTCAGAAAAAATAAGGTAATTAAATATTACACCAATGTGTATTATCATTGCCACCAACCCATGAAGAGACAAATCATGTAAATGAATGATCACCGATTAGTTTCTAAGTATGTTTAGATGCATGTAGGTAGGTAAGCAGGCAGGTAGGTAGATTGGTTGGTTTATGCATTCCACTAATCGACTCTATTTTTAATTGGTATTTCAAACTTCTCTCGACATCTGAAACTTGTGTAACTTATATATGACTTACATTTTGTAATGCTTAATAATTGATTGGAGATATGAGTATAGTCAGACAGATCAAATCGATTTAGAAACAGTACAAATTTTTCTGTTGTACGAAAAAGATCTCTTCTGTTGATAGGCTATGGTGAATCGAAAATCACGTATTTTATTGTTATACTTTAGAATTTCTCATTAAGGTGAATGAACACAATTTTGGTGAAGTTTCAGTCTCTGAGTTGTATGGTTTAATCATGAAGCTTTTTCATCGACTCATTTAAAAATAAATAACTATGAAGTGAAGAATTAAGTCAATTTAGGAGGAAACAATGAGAATTAATGTGCAGATAATGACAAGTGGCAACAACCAATCAAATATAGTGTTAATAAAATGAGCTTTTTGTTATCTTAGTATCGGGAATTTGTGAAGATTGTAGTATTTTCACCGTTATAATCACTAACTGATCTTAGCCAGACCACCATTAAAAACCTAGAAACACTGGATGTCCGTTTTATCCTAATATGAGTCTATTCGTCAGAAGTGTGCATCCACGACTTCGCACGCGGAAATCAAACGGCTAACCATTAGACCACTGAGCTGACATCCAACGATGTTAGTGTCTAACTTCGAATAACTCACTTCTATCTAAATTTTGTGTTAATGATGTTGTTTAGGAAGACATTTAAGGATTCATGATTAAGCTACCGAGCTAAGACAGCACAACACCGACACCAAAATCATCCAACTGAGCTGCGAATCTTCTCCACTATACTTGAAGTTATAAAGATAAGTGATTAAACAGTTAAGTGCGAATTCAACGACTAACTTCAATAAATTTTATGATATTGGTACAAACATCATTCTATGTTATCACGTCGAGTAACTGCGCTTCATTTTTGACTTAAGTTCTTAAGCAATGATAACTTTGCCATTAGGTGGGGGAGAACACACAACATAAAAGCTAGCTAGAACTAATGAATAGCAGATGATTTCTATTTAAAATTTAATGTACTCCTGAGAAAAATTAGTTTTAATCAAATACTGATAAATGTTAATTCACTTCAGAATTTGATATGCCTTATCAACCATGACAATAGATAATTAACATTCGTGTTACATTTGATTATGTTAAACTAACCGGGTATTTTATAATTTACGTCATGGACTGACATTACTTAAATGTTGCCACTGGAAGCCAGGAAGCAGTGTTTTGTACCTGATATGGGACTCTTCGGCTGTGTACATCCACGACTCCACTGGGGGCTGAACTCAGGACCTTCGGGTCTCGAAGTGAATCTCTAACCTTCAGGACATTGAGTGAACATTCAATCAAAACCATACTTGGCTGTTCTGGGTTTGGTCTGCATTGGGGGTCTCATACAAAGACAAAATGCTGTGAGATGCATCCTGGTATGTGACGGTTGTCTAACTAAGATATATCCGTGGTAAAAACTATAAGATTCAATAATCTCCAAGATCTTTTCATTAAACTATCATGATACGAAAGTAATACTGAATATTATTGTGTAAGTTAATGCAGTTCCGTTGTTCATGATAAATCAGTCAAAAAAGTAATATTTCGATTACTTAATTCTGTCTTATTTAAAGATTTTCATCAAAAAAGAGTAACTATCTACTTATTTACCTGTCAAGGCATCGGTTCAAGGTGTCTATACACCAACAATGTTTAGTACAATTTGATTAGACTATTTAAATCTTGGTATATTTGGAGTTATTTGAAAAAAAAAAAACAATTTAACGGAATATATCATACGTTCAAATATATAACGATAATCGTTATCGAATAACGAAACATATATCATTTTGTATTAATCTCATAAGTATTTCGCTTCGAATAAAAAAAACAATGACACCATGTGAAAATGCAAATTCTTTAACAATATATATAATCTACCAGGTCACTCATATGACTATCTCATCAATCAATACATTTAGATAATATAATCATACCAAAATATATCTATTAGACATAGGTAAATATTCATGTTAAGATAGAAAGTGAATTGTTATTAGGATACAAAACGATATGATGACAGTTACACGATGGGATCAGATACCTCCAAATGCCCTGGTACGGCCAAGGGTGGGGAGAGTTCGTTCTCCTCGAAATGCTCACACATGGCCACGCGTATACAGCTACTGTCAGGGAAGTCCTACTCACTGCCTTCTCGTGGCGGGGGTGTTGTTTACGAAATTGAGAGGACGAAAGGCGAATGTCCGGCACTTCAACCGGGTTGGTGAACACGGAGAGTTCACCTAGGGGAGTTGGAAAACCCTGATTCCAAACCAATGGTGCACATGGGCTCCAGGGTCCTGAAGGAACAAATGACGTATGAACTTATTGTTGGTCATCGGCTACCATGGGACTACATCTCCTAAAGTTGCTCCACTGCCTTGTGGATTAATACTTTAGGTCGAAGGATCCGGGTGTGGCCCCCTAGGAGAACCATCTGCTTCGGTCTGGGCACCCAGGGAGTATCATAGCCCACACACAAATCAAGTGACTTGTGTGGCTTATATGTATTCGATGCCCCTTTGTACCAATATTTATTTGTTCAAATAAATAAATAAATATATATAAAATCAAATGATTTCTAATCCCTTCTACTTAATACTGTGATTTATTCCATTGTTTATTACTTCGTTAAATAACTATTTCGTTCGAAACTTCTCGATAGTTTCATAGATATTTATTACAGTAAACACTTTGAGCATTAGTCTTGCGTAGAAATAACTTATCCCTATATATTCGTAATCAGCCAATTAGTGAATAATTCTCAATAGTTATATCAGTATGATGGTGAATCATCGGTTGGGCAACAATTGGAGTAACATTCTATTCTTGAAACGTGTTGTGATGCAACACATTGTACTGTAATGTCACAGTAATAAAACCCAGACATAATCTTGATGTAAATCGAAGATAAATTGTCAGCTTCATTGTGACCAATAATCAATATACCAATGAAATCATTTAGTTATACCAGTTGGGTAAACAAGACTCTAATAACAAGATTTTTTCATAAATTCATTCGTGAACGATAATGAAGAACTGTTATATAGCCCTGACAAAAGATAAATGTAACTCATTAACGAAACAAAATCACTTCTATACTATTTGAAAAGTTACATAAATATATTGTCCTACAGCCCCTTCAAAATATCACGTGACAAGATCTCTAATCAGAACACCGACTTATACGACCTTAGCCCTATGCCAAACCAATAACGCGTTAATCAACACGAACAGCCTAGAGTCAACTCAGTTCTTATTGGTTCTTCTAGCCTTGTCCTGCCCGTTCAGTCCAGAACACAATCTCAGCTACTACTTCAAGAATCATATATTTCAGATATACGCAGTTTATGTACAAGCAAATCAGACCACATCACACCATAAAATAAAAAATGACAATTATACAAGATCAAACTAAAAATATCTGTGAGTGAGAGACTGTAACTAATAGATTGGGAATGACTTAAGAATAGTAAATCGTATCGCAATAGCCAATAGGTAGAATGAAATGAATACGAATATATATAATTCTCTCGTACTGTTTATCTGAACAAGATTACGATTATTTGTATAAATTTCAGTATGATAAGTACATATATTTCCATACATTTCTCAAAAAGAAACCATGTGATTTGAACTTTTTTTAAGAGGCTAGAAACAGTGATACAGTGGGTGGTACATATTAAATTTTTAGGTAATAATATGTATATACATAGATTATCATAAGTAAATTACGTGCTTACACAAATATCAATGTTATGTTATTTTTCTTTATTCTAATTCAATCATGAATCTATGACTGGATTATGTTAGGGTATTTTAACAACATTCATTGTATTTATTTTCGTAGTTATCACAGAGTGATATTTTTTTTATTACGATCCAGTGTTCTGTTAACAATGGCTACCTAAATTGTAATAAATAGTTATTTAAATGGTAATTTTTAGGTTGTGGGGAGGGAGGATAATAATAGCTTATCGCTAATACACTGAGTTAAAAGATTAATATATTCCACTATGTGGACCAACTTTGATTCTCATTCTTAGATAGACATATCTTAATGTTGTTGAGTTCTCTAACATAAGTAGTTTAACTGAGGAACTTTCTTTACCGTTTTCGACATCATCGAGGTTTAATTCATGTAGAAGTGAACCTCTTTTGTAGGTATTAAAAAAACCATTCACAAGGAAAACCGTAAGAGTGAACTAATTTAACTCTATTGAAATAACTAAGAGGATCACTTCTGTAAGAAGTAAGTACCGATAATGTTATTCAGAATGACAATAAAATTTTCGTAATTAATTCATCCAGCTCATAGAAACTGAATAACATCAAAAGTATCCAAATGAGCTGCAAATTGTCTTCACCAGTTTAGATATCTCCATTTCCATCTATGAAAAAGAGTGGTTTAGTGGTTTAAGAGTACCTGTCTATTCGCTATTTGGTTGTAAGTTGAAACACCAACCCATATAACTTTGTAAGCAAAGAGAGATGGTGATTAGCAGTGGAATCCATGACGTGCGTTTCGTTCTGTCTGTGACTCGTCAGCTGGACGTACCTGCATCCGAGTTGATGGTCACTCCTGTGCTCGAACCCAGTACCGTACGCTTCAAACGCATCACGATATCTACTTAGTTAATGAGTCCAGATAGTCACTAGCTTATACAATGGGGTGAAGTTTAAATTCACTTTTGTATTGCTTGCTTGAATCTTCCCACTGATGTTTAGGACTGCAACTGATCAGTCTCTTATTGGCATATGTGCATCCTGTAGGGATTGCCTTTGGTTTGGTCATGTATAAACAAACCAACTTTTAGTTATCTATCTTAGTTATATTGAAACTCTGAAACGAACAATTTTTTCGTAACTTAATAATCATTGGATAGTAGTCTACAATAGTTTAGAGTCACTAGTTGAACGGCTGTAAAAGTTAATTGGTATTGTATTTCTCAAACTATATTTCTCAGTGTTTAAAGTGTTCACTAGTAGTAATTTATACGTTTCTCAATAATTTTAAATCATTGTGACTAACAATGAACATAATTAATGGGATAAAGGTAGCATAGACTGTACAAAACGATGATTGATTGAACTATTCACTTATTTACATATCCTCTTTACTACCTTTTTTCAGTGTAAATACTTGTTATATTTTATAGTTTACATCATACACTAGATTTAGTTAGATAACCGTCGGAAACTAAGAAGTACTGGACAAGTAAGAGTTATTGGCAGATCATAGATTCACAACTCCATAGGAGATTGGACTTGAGACCTTTAGATCTCGATACAAGAAATTACTCGTAATGTAAACTATAGAATCTAACAATCTTCACACTTTCTCCCCCCCTCTCTGCACCAATACTTATTAGACTGTTATTTAATTTCACATCTAGAGAATTGTGGTCTGTTTCGGTATTAGTATTACTCTTATAATAGACCTAGTCCCAAAATTGTAGATTTGCCATGATGTGACTACCTAATCTATAAGATCTTACGTGGAAGTCACGTCATAGTTTACACTCACTCGTCCTATCGTGACGATCAGCAATATGCCGTTTAACACTTCTGAAGAACATATTTGGGATGGGTAGAGATTAATGTATTCAATATAAAAAGACGAGAGGTTACATAGAGTGATCATGCCTGCATGACCGAGTCATGTCTCTGAGTGTTACATGTTGAATGTAAATCTTTTCAGTAATTATATGCTCAGCTTCAAAGATTGTGTGCTTAGGAACCAATATCACTACACACCTTATCTGTTTTACATTGTTTCATTTAATTTTTCATCTTCCTTATTTATTTTTTTATTCGCTATGTAGATTGACGAATTAATTGTAAATTATTTTGGAAAAATTAAAATTCATCTTGTCAATTGGGATGAAACAGACTACGAAGAGATGTTAATTGAACGTGTACGACCGAGATCAGATAATTTTGTTATTCCGTTAGTGATTGAATTTCAACCAACTATTAGACGAATGAAACGAATTAGAGAATTATTAGAAAAGGTAAGAAATAATAATATGATAGATAATGGAGTATTTAAAGATTACATACTTTCTCTCTTTGTTTGTGTGTGTCCCTTGATTTCGATTAACAAAATTTGATGTTTTGTGTTCTTACGAGTAGTTTAATAAGAGGTAAATTTGAATAGAGGTTAGTTCTCCCGTGGATTACATTGATAACATGGACTTTTGTCTAAATGATAATATCAGGATAATCATGTTAGAATGTACACATGCTAATAGCAGTTGATCAATTGAAATCTTTGATATTAACAATGGGAAAATATCAAATTTTTACCAATTCACTGCATACTGGCCTTAGAAGTTAATGACTGTTTTAACTGAATAGTTTCATGGACAACACATTTGGTTCAAGTTCGAATGAGTGACCACTATTACATTACGCTGTAGGTACATCCAACTGACAAGTCTCAAACAGGACGGACTGTATATCCTAGATTCAACTGGTAACCCCAATCTATCTATTCTATAACATTATGACAATTGAAAGTTTTTGTATATAATGCAGAAATGTGTTATTTTCTTTGGAATTAAATAATAAACCCGTCATTATCATCATGATGATCTACATTAACGTGTACTTAGGTTGGCATTTTATACCTCATTACTATTGATTATAAGAAGCACAATATGAGTTGTGTATGTAGCTCTTGTTCTCTCTCTCTCTCTCTGTCATTTGTTTTTTCCAAAGAATACATTTTTAATGTTAATCATAAACACGAATAGAATAAACAATTTATTGTTAAAAATTCTTATAACTCAAAGAAAATTAACCGTAAACACAAGACTGAAATATGTGCTCAACTATGTGATGTATTGGAGATTGCCTTATCTCTTTCTGTTTCCTCATTGAGATTCAATAAACTTTGAAGAAAAACAGAATGATACATTTTTTCCCATTTAATTGGTACCAATATATATATATATATATATATATATATATATATATATATATATATATATATATATATATACTGTTATTTTTTAATCATTAGTAGGGGAGGGTTGATGTAGACCAATAATAAAGGTATGTAAATTAAATTCACACATAGACTAATCACGACTAGTGTGTAGTGAAAATACGTGATCATTTGGATCACAGGATGTGTGTGTGAGTAAAAAGCGATATATATATACAATGTTGTCAGCTTAAATTCAATAGATATTTTCTCTTAATTTATGGTTAGTTATACAGTATGAAGGATATTAAGGTCTATTACAAGTTGTGAATGATATCCTGCTTTATTTTGTAGTTCATTAGAAAATTAACACAGGTTATTGATTCATTGTGAACTGTAGATTTATCAGCTAGTAAATAGTTTGTGTTAGTTCTTTCTAGACGATCATAGAATATACACGACTAGTTTAAGCTCGGATACTGTTACATTATATCAGTTGCAATTAAGGTTTTTACAACTACAGAGAAAATAGGAACCAACTATTATAATCTGCCTGGAACAATTTTGAAAATTGTCACATCTTTTATTGTTACTGTATCGATTCAAGTTGTCGCATACTTCTAACGTGCAAACAGAAAGGAAATAATTTGCTTAGAAACAAAACACAGTTCATTTGTATCAGTCTAATTAGCGTTATCATCTGTAAATTCCTATTGAACAATGTCATATCTTGTAATAACTAATAAAGCAATGTACATTCGTAGATGCGCACTGCTGAGGAGTCCCATAGTAGGACAAAACGGCTGTCCAGTGTTTTCCATGGTGGTCTAGCTTCAATTGACTCATGATTTCAATCAGTGAAACATATGTAAAACTTATTGGTGTGTGTATTTTCTCACTAACAATTCTGGTATCTATCATAGTTATATTATTTTCATTATAAACTTAACGATCCATCTTAAATGAACGTTAATACCAAATTCTACGTACATTTTAAGTAGTTCACAATAAAAACAGACGTGTTTCTACGTGAAAAATATTATGTTAAACACCACATACATACATATATACGTCTGGTATGGTTTCCAAAATACAGGATCAATAACAAATATAAAGTGAGTTAGTTAAGAACAAAAATCAAGGTCTCAAGACTGTCTGATGAATTACTGAGCATTATTTTAATGCTCATTCAATACTTAACAACCGCTTGTGTCATTCACATAAGAACTATCCTGTTACAAGTGGATACTTCAAGCTGATAGACGGGAACACATATAAATTTTGTTGGCTAAAATGTGAAACATGGATATAAAAATACTGGGAAATGTATTAGTTTCCAAAAATCGCCAAAAGCGAGATTTTTTAAAAAGAAATAATCACTACATGGAGTTTTAAAATCACGGTTTTGGCATTGGAACAGGCTCTACGGAATTATTACCCTGATTAGCCAATAATTGAGGACACATTGAAGAAGATTAAAACAATTCTCCATGTATCACTGTCAATCAAACCAAGGGAACAAATCTTTTGTTTCCTTTCATCTTTTCAATAGTTATCGGGTACGGACTGAATTAAGAGTTATTAGTACAAGTTCGGCTGAAACATATTTGTGTCGAGTTCACTCATTTTGTTAAATTCTCTCATTAATACTTCGATTTATATATCTGGCATCATTCATAACAAAATAGCCCATCTCAAATATATGTAGTATCAACTGTAGAACAGGGAAATGATTATAGTAAGACTTTTTACTTGTTATCTTGGGAGTTTTGTTCTCTGAGGTGGATGTTCTGGTTGTGGAGCTTTCATCGTTCTTTTGAACAACACCATATCAGAGCCTGAAATGTGTGCTGCTGATGTTGTTAAAAAAACGATGAAAGCTCCACGACCAAACCATCCAGCTCAGAGAACAAAACACCAAAATCATTCAACTGAGCAACAAATCACCATATTTGTTATCGTATATTATCACAAAAAATTACTCATTCTATACTTTTCTCTCTCTTTAATCCATAACAGAATGGTACATTAGTAATACCAAGTGAGAATCCTGAATGGCGGATACGATATACAAATTTAATGAATAGTTTTACAGAAAACAATGGAACACTCATTAAATTAGCTGAAAATGTCTTCGACGCTGGATTTACACGTCAAATTGATCATTTACTTGGGAGAAGACATATGCATTCACGTATCTATTTCGGCTATGAAAAACCAATTGAATCACCACAGAAATTTATTGACTAAACGGAAACGAAACACCATATATATAAAAATTCCATTACAGCTCCCGATGAATATATCAATGGTATACTAATCCTTATCCAATAAGATATAAACAACTTTATTCTCATATGCCTGTTCGCCTTTCACAATCGATTCTCTTTTTTTTTGTATAATCGACCACATCTTTACTGTATCTTGCTCATTCTTAATTGTTATTGTGTATAAAATTAATCCAACTACAAAAGAATAACACTCAATTTACTCTATTTGCATGAAGAAAAACAGAATACTCGGTAGCACTATCAAATTAAAAGCCGAGATAATGGCAGGGACTTGAATAATGATGAAATAATATAAGACTGTAAAAAGACAAACTTATACGTATATATCATTCTCCGCCTATCTATATATTGTACACACTTTATAGCAAATGTGCATATTACTTATACACTACCAAGTAGCTTATTTCTTATATATAAAATTATTTTTTACATTACAAATAACATGATACGCACTCATTCCATAAACACATATATACAGAAATAGTGATGTATGTATGTGAAAAAGAACACAAGAAAAGACAATGTCTTTCGTTACTTCATTTAAATTGTATTTTTTGTTCGGAAATTATTTAATTCATCGGAGATATTGTCTTCATCATCATCATCATCATTATCATCCTCATCATCATCACCACCATGATTATTATTATTATAATCACCGTCACCATCGTCTTCTGTGTAGCATTGTTCCTTTTTTATCTTGATGTCTATATGGTTTTCGAGTTTTTTAAATTGATTTATATTGTCTGTTAGTTTTTTCTTTAATCGCATTTCGTATAAATCTTTTTCATTTTCTAATTGCTTGATTTTTTCCCATTTCATTCTAAATATGGTAGAAATAAAAAAAAACGGTAAGAACATCAAAAAAATACTGGATAAGTAGTTAGTAGATGTTAAAAAGTTGTGAGTTCAAAGAAATTTCACTCATGAATCTGTTTATCTGAATAAGCAGACGAAAATAAGAAAAAAAACAGTGGATTAATCTTGGAACCAAGACAAATGATAAACTATTGACCTTTTCACAGTCAATCAGTTATAAACGACCTTAAGTAGGATTTAATTTACCAGACTACATCAATGAGTACAGAAAACAAATAGTACTAATGATGGTGAGAATTAAACACAAATGGATATAATTACGGAATAATTAGTATGAAATAGAATTAATATTTGAAGGGAGATACAAAAAAATGTGAATGTATATATGATCTTGTGATCGATTTGAGCTACATAGGCCTTCTAGCATAGATCACAGAGTACAGGTTGGAATTCAATTGATAAATTTGTACATTTTAACGTGATTCAGTTCAATGGCTTCACGGATTAATTGTATGTTTACGTTTGATCACCCCTAGGCCTGTCTTATTCCGACCTACTTCTCTTGTAGCTACGAACTCACATCAGAGAAGTCAGTAGCTGAAGATAAGCAACACATGCTACATCTACTTAGGTCAATATCTACATTCTTATCAACTGACTTATCACTTTTTAACTATAACTACGGTCCCAACTTGACATTAGTAAATTCATGCTTCCATTATATGTGAGCATGTTTCGAAGTTATCTACAATCTGTTGGAAAATGCACTACCCCACTGAAGATTTGACTCAAATTAGTCGAGATAGGCTGTTATTAATCTTCAAACCGCTTGCATGCAAATCAGCAATAACAAATTCGGCCACATCTACAATGACTAACTCTTAAGAATACCCTGAAAAATCCTATAAATACGCTTCCTTCCCATAAGTAATCGTCATTTTGAATGGCAGTAAAGCGTCTCCTTTTCTATGTCTCTTCAATAATTGGGTACTGGGTTAAGAGTAGTGGGGGGGGGTAGTGAAAGTTTAGTTGAGGGTTATTTTGCGTTTTATCCACTGTTGAGTTGTTATTCCGAATATGATCAGACACGAGAAATCTAACCATATTGTCTGCCTCCAAAATTAGTTTTATCGGTTAAAAATTCTAAACAACTAATGGCTTCAGGAAATATTCACTCTTAAATAGACAGACATATTACCTGTGCTACAGGTAGCCTAACATGACTGAAACCCATAATTTAGACAGGATTTAGATAAAATATGTCAGTTAAATAAATGAATAAGAATGACATAACATATAGTATAAATCAGAAAACAGTGACATGACTCTGTCCGATGAGAACACCAACGATCAACGATAATAGAGTTCTATGTTCCGAAATGACACAAGTCATCCAAAATAAACAAAAGCTAAGAGTAATTAGACGGATAAATGAGTAAGAAATATTGTTATCTTGTAGTTACAGTTACTAAACACCTCTGTGGAATGTCGTTTCATACGTATAACAAGTACATTATAATGTAGTCGATAACATGATTAACCTAAGAGATTTCACGATCTCTGTTTTGTCGAGGTCACTCAAACCTAATGAAATCAAACAATAAGTTAATCGATTGTTTTCTAAGACACCAAGTGAACTAAACTAAATGCAAATTAATGACAAAAAAATATGTATTTCTACACTTTTAATCAGTAATCGATCTATTATTAGTCGTACATAGAGTTATTAAGAAGGATCTACTTGAAGAGAGGAAACTTTTAAAAATGTACTTAGGTGTTGACTCATCATAGTGTTTATGGTCAAGATGTGCTACGTGTGCCTAACCACTGTCTACTTCGATGAGTGATGTTGTTTGGTGTAGGAGTAAACTATAAGGAAGTTAGGGGCAGCCAAATCAAAACATTACATCAGTTCATCAAGTCAATGACAACTGAACTGAGTAATGACAGTAGCAGTATACTACCTGGTTGGGGTCCACGTCATTATCATAACCAGTGGTCAGAGGTTTTGAATGATATGGCTCAAAATCGTTCGCAGTGGTGCAGATGGATGCATTCTGTGTCTTTCCTCAGACTCTGAGTTGTGAATTCATCATAACTTTTTGTGTTTTTATTTCACTAATTTATATTTTCTTGTCGCGTTGTATGTTCAATGAGTAATATTTTCTATGTCCACTGATACTGTTACTACCTCTACTATTATGGAGTTTGATCTGACAATTTCATCTCTGTGTGCCAATGGGATATGACAACTTGAACCGATGTATATACGTCCCAGGTTTTATGTTACAACTAACTGAATGACTTAGCATTTATGTACTAAAGCGAAGTCAGTGTTTTCTTTTTTCGAAACACTTCAATTCATCCCATAAAATTCTTTTGTAATGACGCCATAGGTGACTTTCTTTATGAGGTTATAATCATTAATTATTATGTTGAGACTTTGGACTACGTTGTTTGAAGGACAAGATAAATTATTCATTTTAAGTGAATGATTCTCTTGATAAATTTTAAATGAACCGATTTACAATAGTGGTTACATATATTTGGATATTTGATACATAAAATCAAGGGTCGTTTATGAATTGTATCTCTAGTATCACTTGAGTCAATACTCACCCAACGATAATGGATTCAAGAAAAACAAACCTCATGAATTGTAACTACTTATTAGTAATATAAAGGATTTAAAGAAAAACAAGTAGGTCATGACACTTGTAATAGATTGTTTGGTGATATTGTGGTGTATGTAACACCAATCGGAAGTGGAAATCATGACAGTAGAAGGTTAAGAAGATCAAGTTGGAGAGGGTGAAAAGAGAAATAGAAAGGAATTGCAATTAGGAAGAATCATACAGAATGTGAAGGACAAATGATAGAAACCTGCAAATGAAGTATTCAATGTATGGTTCTCATATTTTACCAAAATATTCTGTAATTTCGTATTAAAACACAGTTGGCTGTCTCCACCTGTATTCTCGTTCACAAATATATGACTCGGAATCAATTATAATAACTCAGATGAATTTTCTATTTCTCTCCCCTTATATCATGAATTAAAAATTATTTCATACTCTTCATTCGGTGAATTTACTCCTTCTTCTCGGATCTCATTGTTTATGCCGAATGTTTTTTATTAACTTTGATATTTTCACTATTTCTACTACCCTGACATTTATTTTCATAATTTCATTTCACTATGCTAATATAGTGTGGTGGCAACTTAAACCAGTGCACATAAGTACCACGCATGACTGATCCATGGAATCTGATCTTTTCGAAAGGTAGAATAACTATTTAGTATTAAATGTCACCAAACAGAAATGTGATCCGTTAGAAATCAGGGTACATTATGATTTGATCCTAACAGATTTTGGTAGCAGATAACGTTGAAATCTGTGATAAACTATGAACTATATTGTTTAAAAAAAGGAAATTTAGAGACCCAGGTGCTATTACTTAACACGTTTCAAAAAATATAATAACTTCTGATAAGCGATAGTAACCGGTTGCCAAAATTGAAGTAAGCGGGGTGGGGTTCGGACCTGAGACTTAATGATTAAACACCGAATACTTCAATCGCGGAGCCATTCACCTGCTTGTGGAGTCACGATCAGAGAAAATGGTCGTAAATTGATGATCTCAGTAATTAGTCATCAACAACATAGGACCAGGCACATATATGCATCGGTCCAATTCGCCATACATCATTAACACAAGATGAAAACAAAATTCATAGAAGTTACTTCACTGGTGGCAATGTATAAAAAAGATTGCATATAAGGATATGATACAGGGAGAAAGAACTAGTTCGTAGAAACGAAAGGCAAAAAGTAATTTTAATCTCATAATGTAAGGGAAGACAGAGAGTGTATACACCGACGCTATTGTGATCGGTTCTCAGTCATGTCAACCAGAATCTCCAATCACTGGTTACGATAGTCACACGGAACCCAACCAAGTAGTCTCCATCTACAAATATGGCTCAGACCAGAAGTTAGTGACTTCAAGCACTGATGCCACGTTTTGGTTTGGCCGCCCCTAACTTTCAACAATACCAAACACCGGTTAGCATTTCACGTCGTGGTAATCGGTGTTCAGGCATACGTAACACGTGGCCCAACCATCTCAGTCGATGAAGATTTAGAACTTAATCAACTAATTTACCATCATTCCGTAATATCCTGTGTCTAGCCTCACTATTACTTACCCGGTGATCCCAGCAGATGCCAGAAATATTTCTAAGACATCTGTGGTCAAATACTAGTAGCTTACGAGTACCTTCTACTCTTAATGGCCGTGTTTCGCTGCCGTAAAGTAAAACAGAACGAACTGCCGCACAGTATACTCGTCCATTAATTGATAGACGGATATTTCGCCTTCGCCATAGGTGACGCAAGTTGGCAAAAGCCAAACGAGCTTTCGAATCCGTGCTGGGATTTCGTCAGGTACCAACCCATTACTGCTGATCAGGCTTCTAAGGTAAGTGAAGTTGTCAACGCACTCGACTACTTCACTCGCTATCCTTAGTTCAGGTGTTGACGCAGACCATTCTGAAGCAATAACTTGCGTTTCGAGGGAGGAAACACGTTCCAAACATCTTGGCATTGTTGCTTAGTGCTACCAAAAGACTGCATTTTATCAGCGTCTTCACCAAACAGGACTATGTCATATCTCCAGCGATGACTAATAACGTTTAATTAACTTTTCTAAGAAATAATTCAACAATGCAATTTTTGTTGTGAAAACAAGTTGGCTTACATTTGTTCATTTATTTCAGCCAAATTTCGTTCAGATACTGATGCTTCACTTTCTTTTTCCATGATTTCTTCTGAGTGCTGAGAAAATATTCACTTATCAGTAGTTAAGGTAATCAATAATAATAACAATAATAATAATAATAATAATAATAATAATAATAATAATAATAGAAATATTCAGTTCTTGATACGTATCAAAATTTGAAGCATGCGAATATAGTTTTATTAAGTTTTTTTGTCTCTCGTAACTTAGAACAGAAGAAGGAAGGGGATTTCGATTGTGAACAAGGTGACCTCGAGTGCTGTTAGAGGTATGAGGGGGGTTGTTACTTCCCGATTGTCCACACACTGAAAAAATGCTTTTTCTTGAGAAATCTGAACAATAAATTTGGTTAAGGATGATCTTGACGACCCGAAAGTGTGGCTGGATTGATTAATGGAGATCTATCTGGGGCAGACAGCATTGGTCTTTTTAAAATAGTTTTTGATGCGTTAGCCATAAGACTTTATGTTATATCCGAGTGAAGATTAAATCACGAGTAACTTCTGAGACATATTAATTGACTAATATTATCTATACATTCTCATGGTATAAATATTCAGTAACTAGAACACATTGCGTCGGATAATAGAAACAGATATGAAAAGGATGAATTACAACTGGACGGAGCTGGAAAGGATTGCCCAGGACAGGGTTGGATGGAGAATGCTGGTGAGTGGCCTATGCTCCTTCACGAGGAGTAACAGGCGTAAGTAAGTAAGTAAGTAAGATTATGTATATCTATATTCCCCTTGTTATAAGATTTATTTTGACCTATAATTTATTATTGTACGATTTACTGTTCTGAAGCTATGCTCAGTTTATTAACTACTACCCCCCACGTTCACAGCCACTTTTTGGCTTTATTGTGTACAAATGTTATTTCCTATTTTATGGTGCGTTGAGGTCTGTTTGGTAGATATATAAACCCAGTATGTCTGAAATAAATGATTCGATTCGCATAGTGGAAGCTGGTACAGTAGGTTTTTATAATAATTAACGACACAAACATAATTTCCGTATTATTTGTCAGACAGTATGGGATCAAGGGTTGGAGGGGAAGACAGTGAAGTAGATACCAGTCACCAGACAGATAAACGTACATTGTCAAATTTCATGATAAAAATTAGAATGCACATAAAACAGAATATCAACAACACAAAGTTTTAATAATCTATAAAATTGATAAGACTGGTGAGTATGAAATCATCACGATCCTGCGTTCACACGCCATTTTAAGGTCAAACGGTAGACAAGGTCTTATAAACAAACCACACCATTGGAGGAATTTGACCACACACTCACTCAAACTTTCAGCCTACATGTTCTTGTCCAAGTCAGAAGGATATATATATATATATTTTTTTTCTTCCTTGCACGATATATTGCTGTACTACAATAATATATGCTGAGCGGATGACCGAGTTTATATATATATATATATATATATATATATATATATATATATATATATATATATATATATATATATATATATATATATATATATATATATATATATATATATATATATATGGTCTCTAACACTAAAGAATAAACGATATCTCAATTATCATCACAATAAAATTCGAGAGTATTCCATGAATTCGATATATAGTAATGAAAGTATGATTAGTTGCTGATTGTGGGCAAAGAGGCACTCAACTCACTGACTACTAAATATGCGATTTCCTTTCCTCTTATTCACTTTTACTCCGGAGTCACTGAGTGACTGTCTGTAATTGTGTAGAATAAAATATTAGTTAGTCTATGTTTTAGTGTTCTATATTTAGCCGTGGATCGGGTATCTGACATGATATGGTCTAGTATGCGTACAGCGGATCATTCGAGTACCAAATCTAGCGGTATTATAAACTCGGTCATCCGCTCAGCATATATTATTGTAGTACAGCAATATATCGTGCAAGGAAAAAAATATGTTCTATCCTCCCAATACATAAGAAGTTAATAAGGGTGAGAAACTGATTATCTCAATGATTTCAGTACTAGACTTATAGACAATACGTTATAATCTTGAAACGATGGCTTAGGAATTAAAGCGGTAAACTACCGGATTAGGGTTAAAATCTTACTCTATATAACTTATGCTGTGGACCCCAGCAATAATAACCCTTGCCAAACAGTAAGTGCAGCTCATATGTGAGCACACAAACTCATATTTGTAGAGTTGGATTTATTATGGATGAGTAGATATCACAGTGAAAAGTATCGAATTACCTTTTCCAGAGCAATCATTTCTTTTTGAAAAAGTTCCAACTCTTCTGCCATTTTATCCTTATATGGAACACATCGAACCTATAAAACAAAAAAGAAGTGGAATTGTCGCCATGAAAAATCATTATATTATAGTGTCATACTTTTGCATCCTTATATCGGTCATCAAAAAAACCTTCTGGGAGTTGAGATTGCGATTCTACTTTTTTCTCTGCAGGATTTTTTTCACATATTTTTTCACTGGGAATTAACGTTGGTAAGTTGTTGTGTTGGTTAGCATCCGAATCTTTCTCGTCTGACTTAACCTGTACATATGGAAATATACATCACAGAAATTCCCACACACCTACTTCGTTTTCAATTTTCGCCGATTTACAGGTTACCTCGTCAATTGCTTTGGCTCCTGTAGTAGGACGTTTAATGGGCAATTGGATTCCACGTAGTTCGTTCTATAGTAATTTTAGAAAAAAAAGACAAAAGCTCAGCACATACTTGTTTATGCGACTTGCTGAGTATATGTGCAGTCCAAGCAAATTCTGATTTGATTTGCACACCACATAAAATGCATGATATCCGACCGAGTTGATTATATCTCACATGAGGATGATCAATAGTCCGTTGAGCTTGTGGCTTTGTGACTCTAATCAATTGACGAATATCTGATTTAGGAATGATACTAACATCATTTGATCTTTTATTATTCATTGAAGAAAGGGAGAGCTGTAGTTACATGTGTTTTTTTTTCAAAAAAAAGAGAAACAAGGGGTTAGAACAATTTGAGCTAAAGGTGATTTAGGTAATTACGAATTATTTGTGAATACTTGTTGCTGGATAACCAACTTAACGTTGACTAAACACCCATTTACGAGTTGCGAACTATGCATTTATTGTGATCTGAATTTTCGTTTTTGAATAATGTCTTAAGATGTCAACAGTATAGTAACTAGTGTGACAACTGTACAACTTGGTGTTCCATTTATTTCATTCCATCTAATTTCTATTAAATGGCTTAACTAGAGATATATGACATTATAACAAATGTTTAGTCACGTTTTTTAGTTGTGTAAAGTTTGTACTATAATTTCTAAGGGGAATAATGCATGCAACGAGAACGTTAGTAGTCTAAAATAAAGAAAAAAAAGGTGGTATAAATGAAGGCAGTACACAAGAGTACGGATGTTGTGGTCGTAAAACCGTTGTCTGATTTCACGAACAGGTTGAAGAAAATTACTTATCATAAATCAATGTTACGTGACATATATTTCACCTCAACAGATGAGAAATAGTTACACATTTTGTATTGATCTTAAAGAGACATAAACGAACGATATATTACTCAGTGAGGTTAGTCAAAGGAAAACAAATTTAGTTTTTCAGTGTAATTGGTACCATAGTGAACATTGAAAAAGTTTTTGAGGGATTTATTAAATAGTGAGAATACCTCCTTCCCTGATTGAAGTCCTTAGCTAAGAGACAAACAATCTAAGTTTGTGCATAATTTGGAGTAATTCTCTATATATTTAACACGATAATCTTTCTTCAAGAGTTGTTACAGAATGAAACTTGGGATTTATTTATTGTGGGAAGAAGAGCTATAAGGAATATGAAAGACAAAACCAGGGTTCTTCTCTGCTGGACTTGGTAATCACTCATGAGACTGAGGATACTGTCGACTTAAATATTCTCCCACCGTTAGTGAACAGCGATCACGCTGTTTTGTCATTCGCGTTTAGAACTAGGGACATGTTATACGATCAGGTTACACCTCGCCCAAATGTATGGAAAGCTAACATATCAGCCATTCAGGAATGCGCTGCTAAGATAGATTGGTTAGTAGATACTAGCATATCAGTTAAAGATTTATTTATTTTAACACACAGATATTGGCACAAGGGGGCACCAAATACATATGCGCCACACAAATCTCATTCGATATGTGTGAGGGCTGTGATACTGCCCGGGTGCCCAAACCGAAGCATGGTCTGTATTTAAAGGTAAATTTAGACTAGTTACGTCCCCGTTCATACCATACCTGGTACCGCGAAGACCGAATAATAGTCCACCATGGATAACTAAAACGGTCAGGAAACTCCTTAGAAAAAGGAAGAATCACTGGAATATGTTCATCTCTACTGGCTTAGAACAATACAGATCCAGTTATTGTAAGATTAGGAATGCCTGTAAAGCGTTAATAAGTAAGACTAGACTATCATACGAAAAACAATTGGTTAGGGATTCTAGATATAGTCCGAAACGGTTATTCTCGTATATAAAAAGGCGAACTAAGAGAAGCGATGGAATTCCATCACTTTTGATACGAGAAATCCGTTAATCTTAGCAGAGAATGATGCCGAAAAAGCTGAAGCTTTATCGGAATATTTTAGTAAAGTGTTTTCTATCGGTAATGAGGAACGACCAATGATTCATCGCGACCGTGACGGCTCGCTGATGGATCCTGTAGTCATTGAGAAAGATACTGTTTTAAGGCTACTTCAGCATCTCAAACCTGATAAGTCCAGTGGTCCTGATGATATTCATCCTAGGATTATGAAAGCCATATCAGATGAAATTGCTGAACCATTAGCGATACTATTCGACATGTCTCTGAGACAGTCCAGACTTCCTAGAGACTGGAAAGACGCCATAATAAGTCCGGTGTATAAGGCTGGGAGTAGGGATTTAGTTAGTAACTATAGACCCGTTAGCTTAACTAGTGCAGTTGTAAAACTGATGGAGAAAATCATTCGGATAGCTGTTATAAACTATGTTGAAGGGCAAAATCTTTTCTCCAGGGCACAACATGGTTTTCGGAAAGGCCTATCTTGCTTGACAAATCTTCTCATTGCACGAGAAGATTGGGCTGCGGCAAAGGATCGGAATGCTCCTGTGGATGTGATTTTCATAGATCTAAGTAAAGCCTTTGATAAGGTTTCCCACTCTGGTCTTAAATTCAAACTGAAACGTTTTGGAATCCATTATACAGTCGTCGATTGGATAAGTAACTTTCTCCATGACAGGAGACAAAGGGTAAGGGTTAATGGGGCTCTCTCCTCGTGGGTACCTGTAAAAAGTGGGGTTCCCCAAGGTACAATCCTAGGTCCTCTTCTCTTTTTACTTTATGTAAATGAATTGCCAACTGTAGCAAAATCATCCGTTCTACTCTTCGCTGATGACATAAAGATTTGGAGACCCATACATAGTATGTCGGATAGAATAGTATTACAGGACGATCTTAGCTCATTGGTGGCATGGTTAGACAGGTGGTCACTAGAAGTAAATCCTAATAAGAGTGTAGTGATGCAGTTAAATAACTCTGATGAATCGTATGACTATACACTACGTGGATTCGTGCTACCCAAAGCAAGAAACTATAAAGATTTAGGAGTCATATTAAGCAATGATCTCAAAACGACTAGTCACTGTAAGGCTGCTGCTGCAAAAGGCTATAGGGTATTATGGTCAATTCGTAGGTCTTTCCAGTATTTAGATGATGAAATGTTTAGATTACTATACCCGATTTATGTGCGACCACATTTAGAATACGGGATTCAAGCAGCGTGTCCTTGTTTCAAATATGAAGCAGATATGCTAGAAAGAGTCCAACGACGAGCTACTAAGATGGTACAAGGTCTATCTGGCCTATCTTATGAAGACAGACTGAGACACCTTAACTTATTTCCGTTATCTTACCGTAGAATACGAGGTGATCTAATATTGGCCTATCGTATACTGAACGATGACCTTGGTATTAACATGTCTTATCTTTTGCTTCCGTCTAGAACCGATCATTTGAGAGGACATTCGAAGAAAGTTCAAAAACCGAGATCAAACCGTTTACGTCTGGAGTTCCGTTTCTCGCACCGAGTAGTGAATTACTGGAATTCTCTACCGGAACACGTAATATCAGCACCGTCTGTTAATATATTCAAAACGAGATTGGACCTCCACAGTATTACAAACTGCAAGGATTAATATAGGTCGATAGACCTACTATCCTTATTACTGAAGACTGGTGTGTTATACACGGACAACTCCCATTCGTTCATTATCTACTAGAACGAGAAGAAAGGTTAGTAGTGACGCTCAAAAGAAAACGAAAATTCACACCTTGTTCATGTGTTTAAAAACAGATAGGGAGTGAGGTTTTTCAAAAACTTTACTAGTTAGACGATACAGAACTGTCTAAAACAATATAGGGTCAATAACTAAGAAAACTATACAAGCCATTGTTCAAGTGCAGACTAATGGTGGCAGAGATTGGCATCTCATGAATAGCAGTGCGCTTCGAGTTGAGTGCTAGTTTGAGCCGTATGAGATCTAGTTACGCATTTTTACATGACATAACAATGAAACTAAATTTATGCACGTCCTCATAGCGACATCAAAGTAAGCTAGAGCATGCACACACAATCTCGCGGTTTTAAGGAAATCTGGAAAAATTTCGGGTTTTTATTTCGTATGCCCATAATATTTTGTTGAATCAGCACCGAAATTGGTACATTTTTTCCCTGGAATTGGCTATCCACATTCTAAGGTCAAACGAGAATTATAAACTACTCTGAGCTATTACGATTATTTTAAACAGCTAGATGTTAGGGTCAGGACTAAGGGTTTCACCATGAAATGACATCAACTATAACACAGCGAGACTATAATTTCTGAACGAACCAATTGGTTGATCAATCAGGTACAAAACAACAGGTTTCGAATTTTCGCGCGAAATTCACTCATCATTCGTACGAACAGAGTTTTGGCATTATAGATGATGTCGGTTCGTAATGAAAACACTAAATCTAATTTCTAACCTAAACCATCAAATGTTAACCATAATTCTAAGTCCTCACACAGGTTTATAACCTTCATTTGGTCCCAGTTGTTAGGTGGGCACTCTCAAGGTTAAGTTGGTATCACTCGGAGGTCGTCCATAATTTATAGTCTCACCAAACGAACTAGAACGTCAAATATGTGAAGATAATCCTAAAAGACCTTGACGTACGGCTTAGATTCATATTTCGCGCTACTTCAGTGAATATTGAGGGGATCAGAACTGAATTATGAGTAGCTTCTCATATTTATTCGATCTTCGGTGACATAATCACCTCATTTTGCGCCTAAAATCATAGTTGAGCTTCAAAAATGATATGCAGATGGATTTAAATCTGACTACCGTTCTATGATTGTTGATATAACATGTAAGATGTATTTAATGTACAGGATTTTTGATCTTCTAAGGACTTGAAAATAATCCATTGTTGACAAGCTTTGAATCAATTCATATTCAACTTATTTGAAACCCGAAACGCTTTGTCTTGGGTATTAGTTGCCAAAATACTCGTCCCCCATAATTTTGATTGTACCGGGGTTGTTATCATTCAATTTTTCTCACTACTGGTGAACAGATGTGAAATTGCATTATGTTCTACATCTGGGAAATTTTACTATCAATGTGAATGTATGAGACCATAAATCAGGTATCTTTCCTTGTCAACACATTTGTCGGTAAAAATTATTCCGCCAGGGTAACAGATTTGGAGTCTGGGGTACTTTCACATATTTATCTTATGTATATTTGGATTCTGGCAAGTGTCTCAAGATTTACTATAATCGCGCTTTGTGTCTTCTTTACATGTCACGCCTATTACGTTGGTTTTATCTAGGACCTGTGAGACCAGACTTTGACATCCATCATTCTCCTTCGACTAAATACTCACTTTTCGACTTCCGTTAAGATTCTCCCTCGCTATTCTTTGTTGCTATATTTCCAACTTGACCACCAACAATAATGCCTCGTTTGACTCTATTCGAGGTTACAGTGTGGAGCGATGGCTTCATATCGCTCTTAGGCAGTCTTGTGAAAGTGTCTGTTATTTGGCTTAATCTGTGGTATTATGGTCTACTATGATATTAGTACTGCTCGAATAATAGACCTAATCCTAAAATGGTAGATTTGTCATGATATAACTGCCGTTTGTTCGGATTGATTCCTTTTGTTGCACATTTTGCTAGTCTCTAATTCCATTTGAGTTGGTAATATTTGTATTTTATTATAGTTTTCATTTTTCTAAGGCCTTCACTAAAATTTCATTTTTTTTCACTGAACTGTATTCATGTTGTTTAAATTGACACTTAGTCTTGGCGACAACCATATTGGTTTTGTTCCTCCTTTTGATTGTGTTGCTTGTATTGACTAGAAGTGTGCATTTTTGATCGTGAATTGAAGCACTCTTCCAGAATTGGAAAAACTCTGTTATAAAGCAACTAAATATTATGTTCTAAACGAATCTGTGTGTGGTCTATCCAGACAGGATAGAATAACAGTTATTCGTCGCGACTAGTAATTCTCTCGCATCGTTTATCAAGTTCCTCATTTATTGTAATTTAGATTCGATTAGTTGAACAATTGGGTGGTCATATTTGCTTAGGTAACAATGTACATTTAAATTTATGATGAATATTAGAACCATCATTTTACCCAATTACTTTGTTTTGGCAATAGATACAGCACGTTTCTCCTGGTACCGTTCTACGTAAAAGACCTTCGGTGGCAGCTCTAGGATCAACGGTCGCTTCCTGCTCTGCCAACACTTTCGTCCTACAATCGCATGTTTGCCGATCATTCCCACGAACGAAACCGCTACGTAACGAATGTGTCGACCATTTCTAGCGGGGGGCTCCTGTAGTGACATACTTTTATCATGAAAACGCGATTGTTGTAGTGGAAACAGTTATTGTTATGACGAATTATACCAGTGATTGTTTTACTGCACTTGTTTGTTTAACTGTACTAAAGACATTCTTTCTTTGATTATGACCTTGGACGAATTTGTATACGCTCAGTAACAGCACTTGTAATCCTTTGGCACAATCTCGGTATTCTTTCGATACCACGAGATCGCCAACAAATACATCTCGACTACAGCCATCAACTGCCTGCTGATATTTGGCTTACGGGGGACCTTATCGGTTAACTGGCAAGTAGTCTTCCTGTAGTGGTGATCATAGTCAAACACGACTCGACGCCGCACTACAAGTTCTCCGAAGTTGCTCGTAATTTAATCTTCACTAGGATATAAAAGCTACCAGCATCAATAATAAATGAATGGAACTTGCTTGTGTTAGCAACTAACTTTTGCATCAAATGTGAAGTGCTGGTGTGGACGATAATAAGAGGTGACGAATGTACCCATCTATACAAAAATGCTAGTCTTGACCAACCATCGTTCAGTGACATAATAGTGAACAACTTGGAACATTTACAATCATAATATGTCAAGATATTCAACTAGATACAATCAGTGACTCGAAGTTGAAGCACGTAATATGAGTTTGTCCTCTATTTTTATGGTAGCTTTAAATACAAAATTATATATTTAACTATACGCCATGCGTATTGGTTATCAATCACTCAACTTGTAGAACATGAGGGCTTGTTCTTAATTTAAAACAATTAGTCCCTTTGATAAATGTTGATAATGCAATAAGAAGACGTAGTTTATCAGAATTATGTGATATATTTGCGCAATACATTTCGAACAATCTGATCACACATATACTTGTTAAGAACATTTATATATGAAAAATTAAAAGGTCAACTAGACAGGTTGAGGGTAAGTCATAACAATGGAAAAATATTTAAGTACAAAAAGCAAATGTGATTAACACTCTGGATAGTAAATCAGTACTACCAGGGTAGGTTAAGTGTAAACACAATTTTTTTTGAACACATAAAGAGGGTTCCAACTTTCGTACAGCTTTCGTGCCTTAAAGTAACCCTCGTGCTATTGATAGAAGAAACCAAACAAGTAGTGAATAGGTCTTTATTTCGATCTTAGCGCGGTCACAGTGGAGCATGGGATTATCTGTTCAGACAAACAAAGGCTTTCAACATTCAGTATAAGATAATAGGGAATATAACGCTTATACAAAACAAGGAAGTGAGTGAATACTTGAACAATACTGTTTCGGCATATACTTGGTTGTTTGGGGTCAACTCTTAACCAACCAACCTAAGCTGTTACACAGCCAATGCTTCAATAAACCTTGGTAAACGTCCTTGAAGGCCTTTGTACAACAAAACAAATTCTGATTTGATACCAACCTTATGACTCGTCTCGATCAAATGTTTCGCAATGGATGATGATGTCTGTCTATCCTGTGATCTGATTTGACCATTGGAATTCATCTTAATTGTCAATCATGGTCAGCGGCTAACTGCAAATACGATACGAAAGTCAATACGTAGCGTTACAGGGTTGCAATCATTTCACAGAACGTTTGAATGACTTCATCGAGATGTGGATAAAATCCGCCACTTACATTACCCAGGATACTGCTTCCAAGTACATGTGTCGTGTTAGCCATTCTTAAAGGTGCCATAGATATTTAGGGTATGAGGATATATTTGTCCGTAACACCATAATCGATGAATAGCAATCCATTCAAAGCAGAGGTCAGAGGTAAAGGAGTTTGAGAACATTTTTGTAAAAATTATCGATTTAATAAGAAGCGCTTGATCTAAGCTGGATATTAGTGTGTAGCACAAGGGATGTTTGTAATTAAGTATCCATTCATGATTCAGATTCGGATTAGTGTATTAAGTACAGAAGGCCTACAGTTTATTTCAGTACCCCTCTAGTATGCTTCTCTGGGTATCTAACCATCTATTGAATGAGTCGATTGAAGGCACAGACACCACTGCTTCGAGCAACAGGTTCCAAGACCTGACGACTCGGTGTGAAAACCCGTATACCACGAGTATCTTTTTCGTTCTTGGTTCTACTCGCTCATTATAACCTCTGAGTTGTTTCTGTCCGGTAGAAAGAAACAAAGTCAATTGTCCCGTATTCAGTAGAGGCTGCAGGTACGATCGCCTTTAGGTTTGCTTTTCATATGTTAGAACGACCCGGTGCAATTGTTTGACGGGCCATCCTAGCCATGAACTTTTATAAGATGACAGCATAATCACTTCTCCTTAGAGGTAGGAGGAAAGTTGGTCGACTGACATCACGTAGATGGAAAGCTAGACCTTAATACAAAGCAAGAGTAAATTGTATGCTCACTGCAGATTTCAATCGAGACGACGTACCAAAAGACTTTACCACTATAGACGCGGAAAAGTCAACAGGTCTTGACGAACTACACCCCAAAATCTTGGAAAGATTGCGACAAGGGGGATCAAGAACAAACAAGATACCCGTGGTATACAGGTTTTCTTAAAGACCAAAAGTTACTTGTAGACGTAGCCTTCATTGATTTCATCAAAGCTTTTGACAAGGTTCCTCACAACCCGCTGTTATATAAGTTAAGAAATGTCGGAATTGGAGGCGATCTATTTATGTGGATAAAAGACTTCTTAGTTGGGCGTCAACAAAGATTTCGGGTGAACTCAAAGTTATCTAGCTGGGAAACTGTGCTTAGTGGAGTGCCTCAGGGTACAGTTTTGGGGCCAGCGCTATTCCTCTTGTATGTAAATGACTGTCCTCGTCTCCTATCATCATCGGTCTTGCTATATGCTGACGATGTCAAGATATGGAGAACGATACGATGTAAGGATGATAGCTTAGAACTCCGAAATGACCTGAAGAAATTATCTGAATGGTCTCAAACATGGCAGTTGCCGATAAATACTTCTAAGTGTGTTGTGATGCATATCGGTCATCAAGGTACAGATACATACACGATGAATAACACTGAGCTACCTGTCGTCCAGACATATAATGACTAAGGAGTCATCGTTAGCCAAGACTTAAAGACTACTGCACACTCTCGTGCAATAGCCGCCAAAGGTTTTAGAACCTTATGGCCAATACGTAGGGCTATTAGTCATGTCGACGCTAAGACGTTTTTGACTTTGTATACAGTGTTCGTTCGTCCTAAACTTGAGCACTGCATACAAGCGTCCAGCCCCTGCTTAAAAAAGACAGTGAGTTTCCGGAAAAGGTTCAGAGAACGGCGACTAAGCTGATTCCCGGAATAGCGAAGCTTCCGTATGAATCTCGACTGGCCATGCTGAACCTTTTCCCGTTGTCATATCGCAGAACTAGAGTCAACTTGATTACAGTTTTCAAATTGCTTAGTGCCAAATTTGCACCTGATATGCCCTCATTTTTCTTGTCTTCCAAATCAGAGAATTTACGAGGACATTCCACAAAAGTTCATAAGCCGAGAACAAATTACTTGTCAGCTGAATATCGACTTTCCCATCGAATCATCAACGAGTGGAATTCACTACATCAGCACGTGGTTGAGGCTCCATCCGTCGATTCTTTCAAAAGAAAGTTGGATCAACTGAGGGACCACCATTGCCAGGACTAACACAGGCCATCAGGCCTCCTGTCCTTCCCAAACTGAAACTGAAACTTTTCACACCGAGTCATCAGGTCTTGGAACCTGTTGCTCGAAGCAGTGGTGTCTGTGCCTTCAATCGACTCATTCAATAGATGGTTAGATACCCAGAGAAGCATACTAGAGGGGTACTGAAATAAGCTGCAGGCCTTCTGTACTTGATACACTAATCCGAATCTGGAAGTAAATCATCTCTGATGAATGTGCCTTTTTGGCATTCGGTTGCGCTGTATTTGGTTTTTAACGTTACTTCCTTAGCTGTGTTCAGCGTAACGGACACCGGTAAGACTTAAACTATGGACAGTAGATCGGTTTAGATAAGTGGAAACTAGTTTCAAATTTGTCATTATTCAAGCTAAATAGGTTTGGTGATAGTTCTTCTAGGTGCTGTAAAATCTATATCATAATCACATTACCCTGAACTAGTTCAGGGTAGTCACAGACGAATTATTCACATCGGAAAGCTTTATTCGTTATAATCTCTTAATTTCTAGATGACTCACCAATTATCCTCAGACGTTGTGACCATTATATAAGTTTGGTATGGCTTTTCGTTTATGTTAAAATTGCTTGCGTTCGTGAATGACACTTGTAAACATTGGTTTGTAAGACGCTAACAGAATTCATTTGCAATGTATATGTGTGCAGATAACTAAAGTCCAGTAGTTTTTTTGGTCATAATAGTGACCTGGGTCGTCTCGAACTTAAATAACATTAAAAGGAGTAGTTTTTAGACATTATAGCCTTTTAGCTTAAACTAGTCCTAACAGTACAGAGATATGTTTTTCTCTACCTTCAAAGTTGTGTAGTTTATTTAGACATTCTTCTTAGATAAGACTTCATGTTATGTTATTAATTTAAACATACTATCAACTAGACATTGTCACTCGAGCCTGGCTTGGATGTGTACCTATCCAAGCAGATATACTTTACGTCAGAACAGGTCCACTGCGGTTCTAGTACCTGTGAAGTTGCGCCACAGGATTAAGCCGTATTTTCCAGGCTGCAGTGTTAGGCACAGGATAGTGTCTAGTTCTCCTGAAAACCAATGTGAAATTATCCTCTTCCAATACAATATATTTATATGATTGTCGGTGGCCCCAGAATAGACGGGTACGCCCGAGGATGGGGAGAGTTTGCTCTCCCTTCCAAAATGCCTACAATTGAAAACACGCATATAAGCACTGCCAGGGTACGGTTGCTGTATATGAAATTGGTAGGACGAAAAGCAAATTTACTGGGATTGGTGGGCGGGGAAGATGAACATAAGTCCGCCGGAAAGCCCTACTTTCAAACCAGTCGTGCACATAGGCTTCAGGATCGTGAAGGAACAAATGACGTATGAACATAATCTCGGTCACCAGCCACCATGGGACTGCATCTCGACGTTGCTCCACTGTCTTTTGGATTAGACCTCTAGATCGAAGGCTCGGGGACTAACCCACACACAAATTTGATGGTAACCACTCTGTGCTGCGTACAAATATTTTGACGGCCTCTTTGTGCCAATGTTCAGTCCTTTAAATAAATAAGTTAATTCAGGACAGCGGTAGGAAATTAGAAGTATAAGAACACAAAAACCGTTGCTTCAAAATGAAATAAAGGTACAAACATGGAATTTTATTCTAAAGTACTATCAGGCCAGGCTTAAAACCACATTTGGGACAATTCGTTGTCCCAGAGTCGAAGCTTTACATCGTCTGTATTGCGATTTGGTTTACCTATCGACAGTTTGATAGGTAAACGTCCTTACCTAGTTTTAAATCTCAGATGGTCGTATACACCTGTTACTTTAGTCGACTAACTTACGACCGCACTTATAAATCGGTGGCTAATTACCCCTTTTAATATGTCATGTATTCACTATACAGAAATACTCATGAATATTCATCCTCATGTCACTTGAACTCGCAGTTTTTCCTTACTTGGTATTTAACTTTGTGTAGCATTATTCTATGTCTATTTGATTGCGGATATCACTGGTTATTTATTTCCTACACCGACCACATTACTCCATGTTTATGCGAAGCGTGACATATATCCGGTATATCATGACTATATATGTCACTTAGAAGTCACAAACCATTGGTTTTTATGATTCATTAGAGTGTATATATTCTGGTTGGATGTTAAGATGTCTGAAATTAATCCTCAAAAATCAATACAACTGTGCTTATCCTATCTTTTAAAACCCCGACGTTTTGCCTTTCACGTCAACACGTATCTAAGAGGTTTTAATTGTACTTGTCAGAGTAAATGTGAGGTATTCTGTTCATTAATACTTGAAAATGTTTTGTCCGATTCTCTATTTTTTTAAGACATGGTGACAATCAATCATGAAAGGTATGACAGGTCTCCTTTCATGGAGTCACGAAATTCCAGTCCTACTCGAAGATCTTATGGTGAAAATGCAGTTAGACATAATGCCGATTCCACACACAGAGGTTATGAAGTTAGTCGGCATTCTTACAAGGATAAACATGATCTTAGTGAAAGTTATTCCAAATCAAAATCTCCATCTTTGTCAATTAGTCATAAAAATGAAGGTCGTCATCGTAAAACCAATGAATTTAATCATCATCAAACGCCAGAATTTTGGGAGCGACGTCGTAAAATGCGTGAGCGCGCTGGTGCTTCTGTAAACACAAAGATATGGGAGTCAAACCCACCTAAAGAGGATTCTGATTCAGATAACGACCAGCATACAATTTCTGGACAGCTTTCGGACCTAGTCTTCCAACAGATTTCAAAATACCAGACAACCGTGATATTTCTTATTCTCATAAAAAGCTCAAGCATAAGAACCACAGCAATCATCATCATCGGTCACATAAACACTCCAAAAGGCATAAAAAAGAAACAAAAAAGAGCAATAAACTCAAAAAACAAAAGCGGAAGAATAAACATGCTAGTCGCACATCCTCTTCCTCATCATCTTCAGAATCTGAAGTAGATAGTGAAGATGAAAAGAAACAATTTATTAAACAAATGAAGGATAAGAAACGTGAATTAGAACGTAAACGTGCACAAGAGGAAGAGGAAGTAGAGGCTGTCGGCCCAATGTTACCTACTGCTGAACATTCCAGCTTAATTCCGTTAGACTATGGCCGAGCATTATTACCGGGCGAAGGTGCAGCAATGGCAGCTTATATTGCCGAAGGTAAACGTATACCACGACGTGGTGAAATCGGCCTAACCCCAGAAGAGATTGAATCGTTTGAAAAAGAGGGTTATGTCATGTCAGGTAGTCGTCATCGTCGTATGGAAGCTGTTCGTTTGCGTAAAGAGAACCAGATATACTCAGCCGATGAGAAACGTGCTTTAGAACATTTTAACCATGCTGAGCGTGCTAAACGTGAAGCAAAATTGCAGGCTCAATTTAAGGCATTGATTAAACGAAAGTTAGAAGACAAACAAGCTGCTCCTCCGCCAAGTTAAGAAAAGAATAAATTTTTCGATAACTGCTAACATATTTCAATTTCAGAGAGTTTTTTTAAATCAATGTCTTGTATATAATTTAATTTCATGTACACTATAAAGTAGTTTCCTTGATCAACTAAGGAATTCAGCTGAATTGGACGATTACGGTTGTCATTCCATATGAACGTTATTTTTCATATTGGTAACTTTTTTAGTATGCAATTTGACAATCAAATTGTCAGTAATGATGTACATAAACTGAACTAATCAATTTCCTTGTCGTGTATATAGTAGAAATGTACTATATATTTTCAATCTAAATAGCTTTGACTTGCTTACTATTTATGCAAAGTTTCTTGAAATTACTTGGTATTGGATTTGGGATATCCTTAATAAAGTAGACTGTGATGTGTATACAAATTTACTAGTCACAATAATAAAAGAAAGCAATGAGATTTGTAAAATGATCCTAATATCAAAGATGGTAAGACCGAAAATTGAAAATCTATTAATAATATAGTACAATCAAAATCGAAAAATATAAAGTTTGAAATAGTAGTTACTTAAGATTTATGTGGAGATAGAAAACGAATGCAATTACGCCAGTGAAAGTGATTTGAATAATAATGACTCAAACCAACAGCCAATGATTCCGTGAATTGATGGCATGTGTCAGTTTACCAATCTGTAATCATCTTCCAAATTGCTCCTGTGCATATCTGAGTAGGCAATAAATGCACGTGTTAGGTAACTCTCAGTTACCTCAATCACTTATATTATTATAATTCACTTCACAACTAATGACGTAATATAATATGGTTATAGTTGCTGGGCTGATTGTGTTGACCATATTTGTACAACTTGTGATCATTTTCTAGATAGAGACCTGAAGCTTATTGCCTACAAAATAACCAATAACTTTTAATTTATGTGGAGCGTTAATGTGAGGAATGTTTGTAGTGTACCTCCTGTGTATATTTGGAATAAATCTTGGTTTAATCAGTATGATTAAATCTGGCACAAGCTTATGGTTGACCTCTCCTTAATATTTCTGTAGAATACATGATATATATATGCGACTAGAGTCTCCAACCACCCTTTTTTTATTATGCGAGGGAAGTGTTACAAAGATTGGTTCTACAGATACCACACTAGTAGGTTTATACAGTCTCTATAGTACTAATAAACACTTAGAAACTCACTCTAGTGGGAACAAAATATGGAGGTGATAGAGTGGGATTCAATTGTGAGGCAATATAGAATAGGTAGAGGCGATTTATAGCAGTAGGTCAGATTTAGTGAGCGGATAACCTTACCAGAAATCAACTCATCAAGCGACTATTATAATGGTGGTCAGAATACTGAGAGAGACGACTAAGTAGTTTTTCTTCTTGGTTTTTTAGTGGTAATTCGCAAGATACACGCGTTATATCTTCTGATTTCTGCTTATGTTGGTCGACACAAGGCGTAACTTACCAGCTGAATTCCTGGTTAATGTGGCATTTTAGTCTTCGCTCAACTATCGCCGTAGTATCCTTACAATCAAAGCTAGCGGTTATCAGCCTTTTAATAGTTCACCATCTGAACTTCTTACGAGTGCATCTGGACACCTGTTATCTTGATTTCAGTTAAGTGTTGAACGTTTACCTCAGGTTTTAAAAATAGACGTATATATTCCTGTTCTGGAATATAATACTTGATACCATTCTGTTACTTGTTGATTAAGCAATTAAATATTCATTTTTGGAACATGTCACAACCAATTAGTAGAATCTCAAAACTCTGATGTAGTTGTGAGTTCTTCAATTTGTTGGTGCCGTACAGACAAACTGTCCTTGTATCTGTTTCTTTACCATTATGGATTTGGATAAACTATTAACATGATAGCAAAATTTTTTCTTAGTAGTGAACGTTCTTTAAATGACCATCCTTGGTTCTAAGATGACTAACATGAGTAAACAGAATACATGCAGTGAGGGATGTTGGTTAGGCTAAATACAAATATTTTTTAAGAATTGTGGGTTTTTAAGTTAATGTATATTACAGATTTAGAGTGATGGGAGGGAGATGTTTAATTTATACGATAAACTAAAGTTCTTACCGATACTTGAGTTGAGGCGTATATATGCTACACAAACGATAAAATACAAAACATGTGAGCTGTGATTATTCCATAGTCACTGGACATGTACTACTTTGCAGTTTCTAATATTTAATTACGTAAGGGCTATTCAAGATCATACTGTTATTCATGCAATCCCCTTCAAGGAAAGCGTACTCTGTGTAGAACAAACTCAGTAGAATGTAGTGGATAAACGCAGTTAAAACTGGGAATAAACTTACTAGCCGTTAAATAAACTGACAATCATAACCGAATAACTTTTAAATAATCAAATAAATTCATTTAGTAGGATAATAACACTATGATCAGAAGAAAAAACGATCACAAAGATTTCCAGTTTTTTATATATTATCTCGTGAAAATTTAGCTTTCGATAATTTTGAAAATTTAGTCTTTTTATGAAAAACTTTCAAAGGAATATTCTTCGAGGATTTCATTTGATTACCACCTTGAATTCTCTTTCGTTTCTGTCTTCCCATGCCAACTTCTCTCAAAAGACGCCGACGTTCAAGTGGCGTTACTCTTTGACTGATTGAATTGTTTGATTTACCGATGCCAGCTCCAAGTGGAACAAACGCAAAAGGTTCTGGCATACCAGGTCGCTTCATATCACCTTTTGCTTTGCTTGATGCGTAGATACGACCAGGTATTGGAATAGTTCTCTTTTTTCTATGTTTAACATCGTTTTTATTCACACAGGAAGTCGACTGTATGTTAGCATCATTATCGTCATCACCATCAAGATCCCATTCTGCTAATTCAAGAAAAATAAATATCGCAACCTATTTTGAATGTGAAAGCGATTTTAGTTTACAATAGGCTCTCACGTAAACCGATCAGACTTACAAACATATCATTACTGTCCTAGAACGTATTCATATTCAGTCGAGCCGCTTTAAAAAAAGTCTTACGGTCTTAGTTTTGTATTTGAAAAGATATCCGATAATTATATTGCGTCTTAAACGACTTGTTTAAAATACGAGGCGGAGAATAGCGTCCTTAACTCTTCTGAACCTTACATAGTCGTTTCATCTCAACCAGTGCTGTCACGTATATACAATATGCGACCTAGCATATAAATGCATCAGTTCGAATTGCCACAATATATTGCTTCTAATTTTCTTAAAAACAATTAAATGCAGTATCAGTTAGCCACAACGTAGAACCAGGCACATATGTACATCGGTCCAAGTTGCCATGCCACATTAGCACAAGATGAACAACGAATCCATAGAAGTAGCTAATTAAGTGGTAATATATAAAAGAAAGATTGCATATAAGGATATAGTACAGGAAGAAAGAATTAGATCGTAGAAAGAAAGACATAAAGCGATTTTAATCACTCAGTTTAAGAGAAGACCAAGAGTGTATACACCTACACCATTGTGATCGGTTCTCAGTCATGTCAACCAGAATCTTCAATAACTGGTTACGACAGTCACACGGAACCCAACCAAGTAGTCTCCATCTACAAATATGGCTCAGACCAGAAGTTAGTGACTTCAAGCACTGATGCCACGTTTTGGTTTGGCCGCCCCTAACTTTCAACAATACCAAACACCGGTTAGCATTTCACGTCGTGGTAATCGGTGTTCAGGCATACGTAACACGTGGCCCAACCATCTCAGTCGATGAAGATTTAGAACTTAATCAACTAATTTACCATCATTCCGTAATATCCTGTGTCTAGCCTCACTATTACTTACCCGGTGATCCCAGCAGATGCCAGAAATATTTCTAAGACATCTGTGGTCAAATACTAGTAGCTTACGAGTACCTTCTACTCTTAATGGCCGTGTTTCGCTGCCGTAAAGTAAAACAGAACGAACTGCCGCACAGTATACTCGTCCATTAATTGATAGACGGATATTTCGCCTTCGCCATAGGTGACGCAAGTTGGCAAAAGCCAAACGAGCTTTCCGAATCCGTGCTGGGATTTCGTCAGGTACCAACCCATTACTGCTGATCAGGCTTCTAAGGTAAGTGAAGTTGTCAACGCACTCGACTACTTCACTCGCTATCCTTAGTTCAGGTGTTGACGCAGACCATTCCTGAAGCAATAACTTGCGTTTAGAGGGGAGGAAACACGTTCCAAACATCTTGGCATTGTTGCTTAGTGCTACCAAAAGACTGCATTTTATTAGCGTCTTCACCAAACAGGACTATGTCATCTGTGTGTTCTGAGTCGATAAGTGGACTTCCTGGTAGGGGACCAATCCATGAAAACTCAGACGACGAGAGCGTTATTTCCATCAGTAGGTGTATGAAGAAGTTAGACAAAAATGGAGAAAGTGGACAGCCTTGACGGACACCACTTGAAGTTGCAAAAGCAGATGACAGTTCGCCATAAGCCCTGACTCGACTAGTACTGTTCGAGTAAAAACGCTTCACAAGGTTTATGTACATCTGAGATACAACTCTCAATAACAGACACTGACACAGAATCTCGCGATCTACAGAGTCATGCTGCTTTAAATTCAAGAATGGCTACCATTATCGGACACCGATAAGGATACCTGTATTCTAGAACCTGACGAATGGTGAATATGTGGTCGATGCAGCCACGAACAGGTCTGAAGCCAGCTTGATTCTCTCGTGTTTGCAGTTCACGAGCCTTAGTTAGGAGTCCAATAATTATCGAGGCTAGTATTTTAGATACTATATTAGTTAAACTAATCCCTCTATGGTTGTCACAGGATGATTTTAACCCTTTCTTATATATTGGGACAATCAGTGGTTGTGACCAGTCAGATGGGATTACGTCCAACTCCCAGATTTTAGCTAAAATATTAGTTACCTTAATCGCTAAAAATGGACCATTATCCCTAAATACCTCTGGAGTTAATCCATCTGGACCAGTGATATGGTGAGCCAATCAGAAGTGACCTAAAGGACAAGTGCATTTCACTGGCTAAGAAATGAGTCAATGTCCTAAAGACACAGTGGTATATATATATGGATGAGCATCTGTGCATTTTATTCGGTAGTCCAATACACTTTCTCACCACTGTTTTGT